ACACCAAAATAATAACCTTAGTAATCCCCTTGTGGGGTGCAATTTGTTGTTGTCTGAAGCCCTATTCTGGCTCTTGCCAGGGGCCGCAATATAGCCCGGCCATTAATATAGCCTAGTGGCTGAACGCGGCTTCAAGGACCTCTCCACGAGTGATCCTCATCCACATGGTGGCACTTTGTGTCATCAGGTGTTTATCTCTTGTGTGATGTCCTGGTGGGGTACAACTACTACTACTACCACCAAAATGATACCACTGAAAACAGACTCTTGGGGTCTCTATTCTTATATCTAGATGCTGCTCTTATCTTTTAATGACATTAAAAATAACAAAAATTAAAGAAAAAGTTATATATACCAAACGCAATCATTAAAAAATAAAGAAAGAAAAAAAAAGAAATACACATAAGAAAATAGTTTACTTCCCCTTTCTGTCTTTCCTCCACACCAGGTGAGCTGTGTGTGACTGGGTAGAATTTGCTCAGTGATGCCTGTTCAACATAGTGCTCCCTTATCCTTCACACTCAGTGATACATGTTCAACATATTACTCCCTCATCCTTCACACTCAGTGATGCATGTTCAACATATTGTTCCTTCATCCTTCACACTCAGTGATACATGTTCAACATATTGCTCCCTCATCCTTTACACTTAGTGATGCATGTTCAACATATTGCTCCCTCATCCTTCACCCTCAGAGATGCATGTTCAACATATTGCTCCCTCATCCTTCACCCTCAGAGATGCATGTTCAACATATTGCTCCCTCATCCTTCACCCTCAGTGATGGATGTTCAACATATTGCTCCTTCATCCTTCACACTTAGTGGTACATGTTCAACATATTGCCCCCTCATCCTTTACACTTAGTGATGCATGTTCAACATATTGCTCTCTCATCCTTCACCCTCAGAGATGCATGTTCAACATATTGCTTCCTCATCCTTCACACTCAGTGATGCATGTTCAACATATTGCTCTCTCATCCTTCACCCTCAGTGATGCATGTTCAACATATTGCTTCCTCATCCTTCACACTCAGTGATGCATTCAACCTCTCTTATCCTTCACCCTCAGTGATGCATATGTTCAACATATGCATGTTCAACATCCTTCACACTCAGTGATGCATGTTCAACATATTGCTCTCTCATCCTTCACCCTCAGTGATGCATGTTCAACATATTGCTCCCTCATCCTTCACCCTCAGTGATGCATGTTCAACATATTGCTCCCTCATTTGTCACCCTCAGTGATGCATGTTCAACATTTTGCTCCCTCATCCTTCACCCTTGGTGATCTGTGTCCAATATATTGTTCCCTCATCATTCACCCTCAGTGATGTGTGTTTAACATATTGCTCCCTCATCCTTCACACTTGGTGATCTGTGTCCAATATATTGTTCCGTCATCATTCACCCTCAGTGATGCATGTTCAACATATTGCTCTCTCATCCTTCACCCTCAGTGGTGCATGTTCAACATATTGCTCTCTCATCCTTCACCCTCAGTGATGCATGTTCAACATATTGCTCTCTCATCCTTCACCCTCAGTGATGCATGTTCAACATATTGCTCTCTCATCCTTCACCCTCAGTGATGCATGTTCAACATATTGCTCTCTCATCCTTCACACTCAGTGATGCAAGTTCAACATATTGCTCTCTCATCCTTCACCCTCAGTGATGCATGTTCAACATATTGCTCTCTCATCCTTCACACTCAGTGATGCATGTTCAACATATTGCTCCCTAATCCTTCACCCTCAGTGATACATTTTCAACATATTTCTCCCTCATCCTTCACCCTTGGTGATCTGTGTCCAATATATTGTTCCCTCATCATTCACCCTCAGTGATGTGTGTTTAACATATTGCTCCCTCATCCTTCACACTCAGTGATGCATGTTCAACATATTGCTCTCTCATCCTTCACCCTCAGTGATGCATGTTCAACATATTGCTCTCTCATCCTTCACACTCAGTGATGCATGTTCAACATATTGCTCTCTCATCCTTCACCCTCAGTGATGCATGTTCAACATATTGCTCTCTCATCCTTCACACTCAGTGATGCATGTTCAACATATTGCTCTCTCATCCTTCACACTCAGTGATGCATGTTCAACATATTGCTCCCTCATCCTTCACACTCAGTGATGCATGTTCAACATATTGCTCCCTTATCCTTCACACTCAGTGATGCATGTTCAACATATTGCTCCCTCATCCTTCACACTCAGTGATACATGTTCAACATATTGCTCCCTCATCCTTCACACTCAGTGATGCATGTTCAACATATTGCTCCCTCATCCTTCACACTCAGTGATGCATGTTCAACATATTGCTCCCTCATCCTTCACCCTCAGTAGAACATAAGTCACATGATTTTATAGCCCAATCAGCACTTTACAAGTGATATGGTCAACATCATGCCTGTTGCCTTTACTTTCCAGGGCATGACCTGCTGCTACTACTTCTTTCGTTCACTTGAAATAGATTATCTATATCTGCAATACTATCTCTAGTAATTCACTCAGTGGTGTTTTTCTTGGCCAAAAGGTTTGCCTTGATATGTTTCATTTGGGACAGTCTTAGAGGACATGATCTGTTGTCTCAGGTGCCAATCCACATGTGGACATGGCTGATTCGCCGATTTTAAATTTTGTGTACATGTATGTATGTATGTAAGTTGTACCTCACAAGGACATCACACAAAGCGATAAACAACCGTTGACACATGAGAGTGCCACCATGTGGATGAGGATCCTCCATGGAGAGGTCCCAGAAACCCCTTTCAGCCGTTATAGCCATATTTATGGCCCAGCTATATTCAGGGCCCCTGGCAGAAGCCAGGGTGGGGCTTCTAATAACGAAAAACTGCATCCCACATGGGGACGACTATTCAGTATTTTGTGTACATGTGGCTGCAGCCTCTGATCTTGAAGGCTATGTCTTGTTTGAGGTAGGTCTCTTGAAGGCAGCATACATGTATCTGCTCTTTATTCAAAGTGTTTTCTAGTTCTGATTTTTGTAGTTTTTACTCCCTTCACGTTCCAGTGCATTATTTTGAGACTAAATCTATTCGCAGACATAGATATATTTCCTTTAGCGTTTGTGCGTGGCAACCTGATTTTTATGGTGCGCCCCCGACTGGTTGCCTCCGACTTCAGCACCTAATTTTAATTACTCTGGTAAGCTTGATGGACGTACTGGTATATAGGACCGAACTGCCCACCCTGACATGTGTGTACGCCTGTAGACAGGACTTCGGCATCATAGGCATCATTGGTACATCTACGTTTGTATTTAAAGCCGACGTAGCAATGTTGTTTCATTGATCATTACAATGCGTCTGGTGCGGTACAATTACCTCGACTATGAACTTACATCAAAATGAAGGCAATCAGAAAAACACAGTTTTGTTGCAGTTCAGAAACACTTCTCTAATCTTCTTGCAGTCATTATCTCATCAAAAATAGAGATCACATTTATGGTAGACAACTAAGTAAAGGATTTCTGTAAACAATCTGAGAAGTGAAAATTCCAGCCACCATTTTGTTGTGTCCCGTGCGCACGTTCTCTGCTACTAATTTTAGACTGGGTAAACCTGGAAACCCAAATCAATTTTAAAAAATCTTCTGGGTGCAAATATGAACCCAGGGACAGCAGGCAAGCACCTAGCCCGTTCTATGTCAGTTTAAAATGTCAATGCCATTCCATAACAGACACTGCCAGTGACAGTCCTCACACACATCAGGGCTCAGTATTATGAGGTGGGGGTGACCAGTTTATTTTCTTGCATTATTTTGTCTCAACAGAGAGTTCTGGTTTCCACAGTTAAAAAATATCTCTATCATACAAGACATACATTAAAAGAGGAGGACCTAGAGTACAATGTAGCCCAAGAACAGATGGAAAGGTAACATCAGTTAAATTCTGCAATAGCACAATGTGTCTATGGTGATGCAGCCAGAAGAGCAAGAAGCTGATTTCACTCTCTAAATCCCTTCTTCACTCTCTAAATCTCTTCTCCTTGTGTGTTTTTTCCATCTGCCTTTATCACTTTGACTCTGTGGGTAGCAGTGCAATGACGTTCTCGTTATTTTTTTACCAGACTTTCTCAATGTGTGTTTTGTCCAACACCATCATCTTTTCCTCACCTCCTGATTACTCAAATTTGTATAGTTATCCAGTTAAAGAATGTCTGGAAGTTATTAATACTTATTTCAGATGTTCTGACTGCTTCAACTTCCTACTTAAATTATTATTGCTGTTCTCCATGTTTCAGCTCATACCCAAATTGTTTTAAATCTTCTCAGTGCCCGGCTCGCTAGCGCAGTGGGTTAAACCTGACTTCGCGGCGTCTGGGGGACGAACTCTTTGTGGTCCGGGTTCACGCCCGGGGTAGGCAGAGAAGCCACATTTCTCCCAGATTTAAGGTTTCTATCATGGAATCTACATAGAACATCAAAGAATGAAATGGTTTGGACATCTAACCAGGATGAAAAATGATCAAATAACATCACAAATTTTCAACCAAAGAAGCTCAGGATATAAGGCAAGAGGAAGACCAAGGAAACTGTGGATTGACGGGGTCTCCGAAACCTGCCAAAAGCATGGCCTCAGAACATCAGATGCTGCCCGCCTTGCTTATGACAGGAACTTGCATCTCCCCACAACGCTTAGCGGCATACGTGGAAGGAAAAAGTAAGTAATCATGGAATCAAGGCTGAAGAGCTGCGATATTCATAGCACCGAGCCAAAGGGTTAACAACTCATGGATTCTGGATACTTAAGAAAAACAAAATTTTCTCAGTTACTCAGTAATGAAATACTTCAGACTGAAATCTGACCACAGCCGTTGTCTCCGAGATCATTTTTAACATGTCGTTATGAATGCCAGCAAAGGTCTGACTGTAATGACAGTAACAGTGGCTACTAAAAGCAATTAAAACATTGGTCCACATGACTTCTGATATCGAACAACAACACTTACCTGAGTCTAAAGTTTGATTCTCTCTCCTCCAGATCTGCTATAAGTTTTGTGTGTCTCTGAATGAGGTGCTCATGCTCCTCCTGGATCTGCTCTGATTCTTTCCTGGCAGCCTGAAGCTGGTCCCTGTCACATATTTCACAGACAAGGGTCACTGATTTGAACATACAATTAGATCAAATGTTTCTAGACCCAACCAGACAACTTACTGCAAGATTCAGAACAAGGTTATCCCACTGTATATTTAAATAATGAGGTCACAAAACATATGGTCCCTGTGTAAGTTCCCCGGCTCTATTTCAGAGAAAACAAGAGCAGACCCATGTTATAAAAGTTGACTAATTAGGGGTGTATCCTTCAAAGTCAGGGTGCATCTGCCTGACAGGTAAGGAATCAACAGTCTGCAAAAAAATTAATCAGATCTGTAAAACAGATGTGCCACAAAACTGAAGTTCTGGAATAAAACCAAAAGTCCAGAAGAAGATGAACAGCCAGAACCTTTTTACCTGAGTTTACAGCTGGTGAAGGTGTGAAGGTGAAGAAGATAAAACTATATGGCACAATTTACAGCCTGATATATCTGCTGTATGTCATCATATGCCTACTACATAATTTACAACAACATATACTAGTGCTCACAATTAAATCCTCTCACATGATACACACAAATCACATACTGAACATATGATATGGAAGTCTTAGATTAACCATGTGATCCTTTAGTTTGCATAAAGATGAACTGTCCATGTTTCGTGTATAAAACAACTGGAATGAGTTACATTGCTAGACTCATAGATGAAACACAAGTTGCTAATGCTAGATTTACATATAAAAACAGACTCATAGATGAAACACAAGTTGCTAATCCTAGATTTACATATAAAAACAGACTCATAGAAGAAACACAAGTTGCTAATGCAAACCAAACTTGCAGTTGCCAGATTCAGAAGGGAAAACCAAAGTTGCCACTACAAGATTTACACATGCAGCTTAATCAAATGTTGAGAGATTTACAAATACAATATTACTGGAATATGGTAAATGTACACATACAATATGATCCATTTAAAAATATCACTAGTTCAGATGTCTTAAACTCTGAGCTCACTCAAATCAATAACTAAAATGGATCTAAACTTGAACTTTTGTTTAGGTCAAAAACAACCACAGCACTGATTTGTTAGTTTCATGGTTTACTTCTTCTTCTTAGTCTGCGTTTGATGTTAGTTTGGTTTACAACCAGGCTACAATATCTGTGTCTTTCAGTCCAACATATCTGACTTCACCTTTAAAGCCTTCAATATAAACCCTAGTTAGTTAATCGAAAGATTATCCTCATTGCACATCAGACAAGCCCATAAGTGCTTGGATCCCATCTTCAGTAAATTTCTCAGCATGAGGCGACAAATATTAACAGTTCTGTGCTGGTTTACTATTCATCATTAGCTACCTGTATAGTGTCCATATATAAACCCTGACACTGGTGAGGCTACTGCACAAGAACAGACTACATGGCAAATATCTATCTAAAGAGGGGCATTGACTTCAAAGGCATCTAAACAGCACAGACAGGCTAGAAAGACCCCTGCAACAGACCCATTACCTACAAAGACTGCTCCATGGTCTCACTGTCCTAGATTCTTCCGGGGTCGTATGGGGTCATAAGTCACCTCCAAACTTACAGACAATCAACTTTAGTTTCATGATGGATGAATGAAAGAGTGGTCCTCATCACTTGCGATGAATGAACAAGTGATTTCATCAAATCTATAATTAGTCACCATTCTAAGGATATTCGTTAATGGGCAGTGGAGAAATTTTTAGTCTCCCTGGCCTCCTTTCACACATGAGGATTATTTGGCATTTTATTTTAAGTAGTCTTAGGTGCCCTTTAACATCTGCTAAAGTCAAAATGTCTGTCTCGCAACACCAAGATCAAAATTATTAAAACGTTGATAAGACAAGTCGTTTTACATGGCTCTGAAACTTGGAGCACAACTAAATGAGATGAAGCATTATTACAGATTTTCGAAAACAGAGTCTTACGACGAGTCTTTGGACCCATCAAAGATGCAAACAGCGGGGAATGGAAAGTGAGAAGCAATAACGAAATTCATGTTTAAATCACCACTGATCACTGGCTTCATGAGCGCTAATAGACTGAAATGGTTGGGGCATAGTGAAAGAATGTCATTTTATACACAAAGGAAATGAATGGTCGTAGACCACGAGGAGACCAAGAAGAAGTTGGAGAGATAATGTCTAGACAGACCTGCAAACACTTGGTGTCACCAACTGGAAAGAGAAGGCCAACCAGAGAGATGAATGGAGGCGAGTGATATCTGCAGCAATGAACCTCAAGGGATCAGAATGCTGAAGAAGAAGAAGAAGTCTCAGGTAATCATAGTTCCAAATTTACAGAAAATGAATAGATATTCTGTTGTTGTCGCAGCAAAAACCACACACAAAATGCCCATCACTGTCACCTGTGAAAAAAAATGGCATAACACAGACTTCAGTCTTGACAAAGCCAATAGCACAGACAAGCACAAGGCAGCTGTCAGAAGTGCCAACACAACCAGACTGGTACTAGAAATGCAGTTCATCATCGAGGGAAGCAGCGAATACAACAAACAAGTAAACAGTTGCAAAATGCACCACCAGTTCTGTGGCAACAAGCCACCTCCCATTAGCTGAATCTGCACTTAACAATAAAAACCATGTTGGACACAGTTTAAAAGTATTCTAAATTAAATCTGCAATTCCCAGCATTACACCATGAACTCAAATCAGTAGCTGGGTGAGAGAACTTAACACTTTCAGTCCACATTTGAGGAAAATGCAACGGCTAACAATTTTCAGAAAAAAAAAAAAAAAATTAACATGCCTAAAAATAGTAAGCCACCTATCCACCACATTGGACCAGAAGTATGTCTCAGTAACCTGCCACCGATTTCTGAACAAAATAACGCTAATTTAATTGTTGAAATCTATGGAAGATGGTTTGCTACCAAATGGCCTGGTTTCCTTCAAACTATGTTGGAATTGTGAAATTGTTCAAAGGCTTCAAGTCACCGGCCCTGATTGAATTAGACTAAAATCAAAACAGACTGCCATAAGTTAACAACACTAAGCATAACACTCAAATTACAAAAAGATTATCACTCACTGAGTCTCCTGTAGTCGGATCTTGAGATGATCAATGGCATTCTCATAGCGTTCCCTGAAATCAACAATAGCAAGCAATAAGGTTTACATAATAGAACAACATTTAGAATCCGAAAGGCATTCACATCTTTCCACAGACCTCAGTTTTAGATTTTCTGAATCATTTCTACTGATGATATCCCTCCATGCCATCAATTCAAGTTCTGGAATAAGACTTGAGTAGAGAAGTGAAAGAGTAATCAGAACTATCCGCTGGAGTTTACAGCCTGTGAAGAAGAAGAAGAAGAAGACATATCTATTTATGGTGCTCTAATAATATCCTACCCCAAACAAAGAAAATCCACAGGTCATGGAACAGTCTAATATTTCAGGGGGTGGTAGATAGACTACATGCAGTCGTGGGACCTATGCTGCATGCAGTCATGGGAACTAGGCTGCATTCTCTCGTGGGACGTAGGTGGGTTGGGGTAAGGGCCAATTCTATATGTTTTGGGGTCGCTAAAAGCATCAGAAAGCTGGGAAACCCAGGCTTACCACCCTCTAACATGTTGGACTGTCCTGTGATGTCATCTGGAGTAGGATAATAATAAAGCACCCCATTCGTCTCTGAGACTGGCCTTCTCTTTCCACTTGGTGACCCCTGATGTTTGCAAGCCTGTCTGTATATTATCTCTCCACATTTTTCTTGGCCTGCCTCGTATTCTACTCCCATTCAAGAATGTTGAGAAAATCTGACAGCAATATAATTTGAATGTCTTTGCATTGAAACCCACAGGGGCATAGAAATAAAGGAAGACCAAAAACACATGGAGAAGGGAGACAGAGTGTGAAGTTAAAAAAATGGGGAGGACATGGGGAGAGCTGCATGTGATAGCGAAGGATAGAACGACTTGGTGTGAGTTGGGTGAGGGCCCCACTGGAGGGGTTAGAAAGACAGAAGAAAAAGATGTGTATTAAGAGCACCATCTGTTAGTTTAGTATCAACTAAATACAGCTCCAGATAATGTTCCACCCATCTGCCTAGTGCTTCTTCTTGTCGTTAATAAATCTATGTAAGATAACTCAACAGTGTCCTATAAATGTGTGTGAAAAAACTCAGCAGTGTAGTATACAAGTGATCTGGTATACATTTATGAAACTGTTCCACAATGTAGTATACAAGTGATCTGGTATACATTTATGAAACTGTTCCACAATGTAGTATACAAGTGATCTGGTATACATTTATGAAACTGTTCCACAATGTAGTATACAAGTGATCTGGTATACATTTATGAAACTGTTCCACAATGTAGTATACAAGTGATCTGGTATACATTTATGAAACTGTTCCACAATGTAGTATACAAGTGATCTGGTATACATTTATGAAACTGTTCCACAATGTAGTATACAAGTGATCTGGTATACATTTATGAAACTGTTCCACAATGTAGTATACAAGTGATCTGGTATACATTTATGAAACTGTTCCACAATGTAGTATACAAGTGATCTGGTATACATTTATGAAACTGTTCCACAATGTAGTATACAAGTGATCTGGTATACATTTATGAAACTGTTCCACAATGTAGTATACAAGTGATCTGGTATACATTTATGAAACTGTTCCACAATGTAGTATACAAGTGATCTGGTATACATTTATGAAACTGTTCCACAATGTAGTATACAAGTGATCTGGTATACATTTATGAAACTGTTCCACAATGTAGTATACAAGTGATCTGGTATACATTTATGAAATTGTTCCATAATGTAATATACAAGTGATCTGGTATACATTTATGAAACTGTTCCACAATGTAGTATACAAGTGATCTGGTATACATTTATGAAATTGTTCCATAATGTAATATAAATCTATGAATTAATTTTAAATAACCCCTCCTCTAAGTATGGACTGATACCAAGTTTTGTACACATCTTTAATCTGAAGCTGAGTGAGAAGAAACAGAAAGAACACAAATGTTTACAACAATGGTCCTGAAATCCCATGCTCTAACTATGGAAGACTTTTCTGAACGCAGGCGGGTCTTGCTAGTCACACTCGCCATCGGTTGTGAGTCCTATGCCTCATCATAGTGCAATATAATACTATCGTCTGGAAAGATGGAAAGATGCCAATCATGCTACATTTCTGAGTTATTTCACACAGATTTATAGGACACTGTTGAGTTATTTCCCAGATTTATATGGCGTTATTGAATTATTTCACACAGAATAATACAGAATTGTTATTTCACTTACAATTATACAGTATTCTAATTTTGTTTAGATCACACATTTTAATGATACTGTTCAGTTATTTTACACAGATTTATAGGACATTAATGAGTCATTTGAAACAGATGTATCAAGTGCTTTCTTTGTTTATCCGAAAACAAACAATACTCACTTTTCATGTTTATCAATGTCTGTATTATCATCAGATGGGTTTTTGGACTTCTGTTGCCTGAGTACATTATGTGCTCGGACCTACACAAGAAAACAACAGATTTTCAAATTCTGCTCCACGAAACAAAACACCAGTGTGGAAAATAAAAATGCCATATAAAAGATATATGTCCAAGTTAAATCTTCTAAACAAGTAGATTCCCAGTTATAAACAAACAGATCAGAGCCTGTGTACTATTAACTGATCTATTCAGTTAGTGCAGGAAAATAAAGAGATTTTACAATATATGTCAGGAATATAAGACAGGTCTAATTTAATGATTCTTGGTTTGTGTTTAGTCTTCTTTAACTCTTTGAGTCCCAAGGAACGCATCATACGTTCATAGATTTCTACCTAGAGGCCCAATGAATGTATGATGCGCCGATTTTACTTCTCATTTGGGCCTGTGATGCTAAACCCCCTGAGATTCAAAGAGTTAACTTTATATGTACTTTATCTACAACTAATTTATGATCACTGTAGCAGTCTGCTCCTGGTACAGTTTTTGCAACTTTTAAAGCGTTTTGAAATCTCTGACTGATGAGTATATAATCAATCTGATTCCAGGTCTTATAGTTGGGACTTTTCCACATCCACCGTCTTCTCAGATGCTGCTGATACCAGGTGCTTCCCACAATCATATCATGCTCCTTTGCACATTTTACCAGCTGTCTCCTCGTTCATTTCGCTCTCCTAATCCATATGAGCCAACTATGTCACCATCCTGCTGGTTTCCAATTATAGCATTAAAATCTTCCATTATGATACTTACTTCCATGTTCCTGCACTTTTTTCAAAGGCATTCTTCAGGTCTCTATATAACACATCTACACTTTCTTCACTACTCTGGGATGTTGTAATGTATACCAGAATGATGTTACGTCAAAAGGTCTGCCACTTAATTTTACAACTAATACTCTATCTGACACTACTCCGTATCCTTTAATGAATTTTGATCTTTCCAAAGAATGAATGAATGATCTTAAATAATAAAGAATAAAGAATGCACATAAGTTTCCTAGATATGATGCTGTTCATGAGCCAGCACAGAGACTTCCAGCCCCAAATGGAGGACAGGCATGGCAGAATGTTTAGCTTCAGGGTTATTTCTGCTCCTTACAGGGCTCTACTAATGCAGTTTCCACAGATGGAAAGAAGTTTTGCTGCCTAAGCTACTGAGTTAAGTGCTTGGTGAAGCACTGTGGGCTGTGGTTTTCATGTGGAATGCCTTTCATTTGCGCAGTAGTTGTGTTGTGCTATTCAGTAACGTAGATGGCGGGTTTACATGTGGGCTGGCAAAACACCTTATGTGATAATTCTGTGTGTGTATGGCCAACGTATCATGACCGACTAGTTCCATCAATGACAACTGCATTTCTGGTGGTGACTTTTGGCTTGGCTTCGGCACCTCTAGCAACTGACTTATGCATTTACTGTGTGCGCATGTTTCTGGATTGTGCCGGGGCTACTTGTTTGTTTACCGGTTTTTCAAATGGGACAGACAGGGACATTTCATTTGATTTTCCTTGACACAGGAATGGAGCAAGTATGGGATGACCTGACTGCAGTCAAGTTGAAACACTGACTACTAAAAGCCAGCACAATAGATAATTTACCTTATAACTGTTATATTCTGCCTGAACGGTGTTCAGTTCACTTCTAGCAGTTTGCAGTTCAACAGTCAATAAATCCACCCGAGACTCCAGTAATTTAACTGTTCGCTGGCTGCTGTCATTGACACTTCGGATTTTCTCCTGAAGTTTCTGGTTATCTGCCGTCAGTTGAGAAACTTGAACCTAAGACATATTATAAAGAAGAATCAGGATAATGAAAAAGCAACCTCTGCTGACATGCTCCTAATCTAAGCCAGTCATCTACCGGCCAGCCAGTGGGCGACCTGGTTGCCAATGCCAGTTGAATAGCCTTGATCTACACAGATAGGTCAGTGAAGTGCTGGTCAGGATCAGCATAGGCATATATAGCCCAATGAATGGAGAAAACAGTAAAAGAGGACAGTGATGCTTAAAGGGCAACTAGGTCAAGTACGACCAAAGAGATAACTGCTGCTTCCAAAGCACTAGCAAGGACAGCAGATCAAGCAGCCGCACATGCAATAATCATTTCAGACTCACTAAATATGCTTCAGAAAAATCGAAAAAAGCATAGTCTGAAAGGGTACAAAGCTTTCCGAAATCCCACTTAATCTCCTGCACCTAGATCTACACGCCTGGGCATGCTGGCACAAAAGGTAATGAATAAGCGGAACTAAATTACAATCAAAGCGCAAACACATGCAGGAAGAAGCAAAGACAGAGCAGATATCATCAATGCTGTACGGACTAAAGGACTCTTTTTTTTTTTACACCCTTAGGCGTATTGTGTAAATAGAAAAGTAAGTAAAGTAAGTAAAGAACCCTTTCCATGCTTTCAGGCATACTAGGCAAATAGAGCTAGATCTACATATTTTATTGACCAATCGGTACTTGTTCAGTGATGCGGTCAGCATCATGCTAGCCGCCTTTACTTTCCAGGACTCCACCTAGTACCTATTTTAGGCAGGATGACCTCAGAACTAAGCTAATTTATTAAGGAGAAAAATGTGGCTTGATGCAGATCTGAACCCATGAACTCGGGGCTGGCAGGTGAATGTCTAGCACAACACCACGGCAGCTCTCAGTCCCACTGCGACAGGTCTCTGACACCAACATGACTATGTGACCTGGGAGTAAAGCATGGTGAAGCATGGCTTCACCACCTTAGAGGCCATGAAAGGAGACATTATAACCAACACCTTATTGGAACAATCAGCAGAAGTACCTTGGAGTGGCATCAGCAAAATGAGCATCACCTGGGAATGTCCTATGTGCAGTGACATCAATTGTGATAACATAACAAGTTACTACAAATCAGCAGCTGCTCAAGCAATACTGCATAAGGCATCACTAGTTCTGTAACAACAGGCCACTCAATATTTTCTCAATCTCCAGTTCACATCTGTCCCGAGGTGCCTCAAGAGGACAAAATTACCCAACAAGACATACTGCCGAGCGCTACCCAAGTCAAGCTATACATTATCTCAGTGTTATATCATAGGGCAGAGTTAGGTACATTTTTTAATCACTTAGGACAGAGTGTTGAATTAGGAATTGACATCACAGCACTCCAGATACTCCCAAAAGTGCTCTGTCCTCATCTTCAGCAGCATGCGAGGAGTCCCAATTCCGATGGCATCAGTAGTCATCTGACTGTATATCCGTCACATCCTTCCCCTAAGTGTTGAGCCTCTGCCACATCCCTGGTAACTCCTCGCAGCGCCATTTTTCCTCTGACCGTAATGATCTATCTGCGCATCCGCACTGTTCACTCGTTCCCAACGGGCCCACACAATATCTAGCTTGTCATATATCAATTTCACCACCAAGTAGAACAGAGCTGGCCAGACTATATGCCTGCTCATTTCCCACCACCCCGGCATGAGCTGCAGAAAATATCGAAAGACCCGGGACCTCTGAATTGATGTTTGCCACTGCATGGAACATGCCTGTCTCCACCTTTCTCAATATGCTCGGCATGTGTGTACAGCTGATTCTCAAGCTAGCGGAAGGCAGCAGTGACTGCCTCCACCTCCATTCTCAAACTAGATGTTGTAATATCATATGCAAGGCTTTGTTGCAAGAAGCAACATCCATTCGCTTTTGCTATGAACCACCATGCACTTTGTCTGCCTCTCAACACAGAGCCATCTGTATAATTACATCACTTGGGCTGAAATTGTCATGAATCATTTGTTGAACTTCTGATTCTTCAGCACCAGCAGGCCAGTCCCTGCACTCATGACCTAAAGTAATTAGAACCCTGCACAAGTCTGAAACTTGCTCGGCACCTTGACCCACTCCTTTCCTCGTCCAAATCTATCAAACCTGGACACACGATCAGTTGTGTTTAAGCCATCCAAGACTTTCCTCTTTTCAGTCTGTACCTTTAGCTCTACCCAGGGTTTCATGCAGGAGGTGCTTCTTATCTGCAGCTACTCTGAGATATGACTTTGCTTGCAGAACTTTGAGCCTGTCTGCAATAGTAGGCAGTGCAAATGTATATCACATACATACTACCGGGGTATCTCTTGTACATCCCAGAATTACCCACATGACTTCATTCTGTATGCATTCAAGTGTCATCAGCTGACATCTTTGATGTGGTAAGCACTTCCAGTCCATAATCTATCACCGACAGGATCAAATGCTGGAACATTGTGAACAGCATTCTTTTTTCCATGCCCATTGCTGCCATATTCTTGAGAGCATTGAGTCCTTTTTTAGCTCTTCACTGCAACTGTCACCACAAGATCCCTAAAGGACAGACTTCTATCGAAAATGATACTGAGATACCTCAGTTTGCTTTCTCTTTTGATGTTACTGTTATTAATTGTTCCCGGTATGTGTTCCAGGGCCCTGATATAGGCAAAACAGGAATAGACACACTGCCTATCCAAAAGCATGGTGTAAGAGTCAACTAATTAGGAGCTTCCTTCGAAGTCAGAGTGCATCTGCCTGAGAAGCAAGGAACCAACAGTCTGCATACAACTTAGTCAGATATGTCAAATGGATGCACACGCAACACTCAGGTTCTGGAACAGGACTGCAGTCCAGAAGTGGGGGAACAACCAGAACTTTCCGCTGGAGTTTACAGCTGGTTAAATGCGAAGAAGAAGAAGACTGTTGTTAATCATGAGGCTTGGAACATTAGCTCTTACAATTCTTTTGTCCAGAGAGCACCACAAAATAGCCGCCTTTTCTGAAATTACATAGGACATAGTGGGCATATGCACAGACTAGTGATATCAGGGGAATTCCCACTAAATTTATTTGTTTTGTACCTGGCTTCAGGGCAACAACTAATCCCAGTTTTGTAAAAATCTAACTCCTGTTTTTAAAAACTGACACTCCCACATCTTTTGCCATCAAAAAAAAAAAAAAAAGCTCAGGGAGCCCCTAAAACAAAGGCTGGAAAAGAGGGAGGTAACATGGACCACATGGTCCAGGAGACATAAACATGCCAGCCACATTTATAGCATAACTGTCAAAGAATAAAAGCTGATAGTTTCTTTACAATAAAAGTATTAACACCCACAAACCAGTAAATTTTCTAAATATAACTATGTATATACACACATACAAACCAGTCAAGCGTTTATGTGCATGCGTCTATATACAAATGACATATTGGAAACATGAGCTGACCTTGAACTCCTCCAACTGCTGGCTAGTATTCTCCAGCTGACCTCTCAGTTGTGCATCTGATGATCTTTGAACAGTTTCCTGTTTAAAGGCAACATTTAAAAAAAAAGAGTCTCTAGGGGTGTTTTAAGAGCGTTTGAATAATTCGCTTCATTGCTGTGGGTTTCAGTTCATGTGACCCAGCCTCTCTTTGCAGAGTGAATGATGTCATGTTAAGAAAGTTGCATTAAGAGGGGTGATTAGATGATAGAATAATAAACTGTCGATCGGATGAATGATTAGAATGGTGGCTGGTTGGAGGAAGAAAATGACGGATTGGTAGCTGAGTGGTTGGATGGATAGAATGAAGTATGGGTAGCTGTGTGGTTGGATGGATAGTTGGTTGGCTTGAGGGACAGAATGATGGATGGGTAGCTGGACGGATAAAACCGTAATTGGTTGGATGAATAGTTAGAATGGCTGGCTGGTTGGAGGAAATGAATGATGGAAGGGTAGCTGGTAAGCTGGATGGATAGAATGATGGATGAACAGTAGCTGGTTGGCTGAAGGGACATAATGATGGATGGGTAGGTAGCTGGATAGATAGAACGGTAGTTGGTTGGATGAATAGTTAGAATGGTTGGCTGGTTGGAGGAAATTAGTGATGGATTGGTAGCTAGCCTAAACTGGATGGATAGAATGATAAATGTGTGGTCGGTTGGATGGATAGAAAGAATGAGGGATGGTTGGCAAGATGGATAGAATGGTGGCTGGACTGACAGAACGATGGATGTGTGGTTGGCTGGCTAAGTGGACAGAATGCTGGTTGGCAGGAGAAGTAGAATATGTTCTCATTAGAAAAGAATAATTCAGCTATCTAACTCAGCTGCCAACAGATGGATTACTGATTTAAGAATCGATAGCATAGCACACAGGGCATACCCGTAGACGCTCCATCCCCCGCAGCAAGTGTCTTTGAGGTGTTGATGCTAACTGTTCCCACTGCACACTAATGACACTCATGACAGTCTCTTTCTTTCATACAACCCTTACAGCTGGATCCACTCCTAACTGCATGTTCACACATTCTTACACGTTATTACATCTAACCTTGTGTCTTCTATTCGTTCATAAATTCATTCATAAATGCCAACAGACAATCTTTCACAAGCAGTGTTGTATCATCAGCTGAAAACTGAAAGACAGGCACTCTCCAGCTCTTTATGCACATTCTTAAACATGTTATTTCATCTAACTTCATGTTTCCTATCAGCATTTGTTCATAAATTAATTCATTAGAGCCAACAGACAGTATTATTACAGGTTTTCAAAAACAGAGTCTTGTGACGAATCTTTGGACCCATCAAAGATGCAAACAGCAGACAATGGAGAGTGAGAAGCAACAACGAAATTCATAATCTGTTTAAATCACCAGTGATCACTTGCATCATCAGAGCTAATAGGCTGAAATGGTTGGGGAATACTGAAAGGAATGTCAGATAACAGAGAAGTGAAAACTGTATACACCAGGGAGATGAATAGTCATAGACCACAAGGCAGACCAAGAAGACAATGGAGAGATAATGTCTAGACAGACCTGCAAACACTTGGTGTCACCAACCGGAAAGAGGCCAACCAGAGTGAGAAACGGAGGCGGGTGACATGTGCAGCAATGAACCTGAAGGGCTCAGAATGCTGAAGAAGAAGAAGAACAGATAGTATACCACAACAAGCAATGCTGTATAGTCAGGTGAAAATCAAAAGATAGGCACTTTCCAGCTGTCCATGCTTCTCCTTGAAAAGGTACGAAAGGAACAACATGAGATGAAATGAAAATACTGTACCAATTTTCTAGCATCTGCCAAGTCCTTCTTTGTTTTCACTAGCAGAGTTTTCAGCTTGTTTGCTCGATCATCTGCTTGAATTCTCTGTTCCTCTGCAGCATCTGAAGAAAAATTCAGAAAAACAATATGTATGCAGGTATATAACATACCCTAAATTGGTACAATTATCAATCCATAACTAATCTGTTTCTACAATCAACAATCTGTGTCTGCATTGCGCAATCTGTGCCTACACTCACACTAGCCTGTATTTGGCAATCTGTGCCTACACTCACACTAGCCTGTGTCTGTATTTGGCAATCTGTGCCTACGCTCACCAATATATGACAACACTCACCAAAATTTGACTATTCCCACCAACATGTACCTACATTCAGCACTTTGTGCCTGCACTCACCAATATGTGTCGACAATCGCCAGTATTAGTCAACACTCACAAGTATGTGCCTATTTACCAATATGAGCCTACACTCACAACAGACTGAGTGTAAACTCACCAGTATGTGCCTAGGCTTACCACTATGTGCCTACACTCATCAGTATGTGCCTAAACTAACACCAATGTGTGCCCACACCCACCAAACTGTGCCTAACCTGACACCAATGTGTGGCTGAACTCACACCTATATGTGCCTACACTCACCAATGTTTGTCTAAACTCATACCAATATGTGCCCACACTCACACCAATATGTGCCCACACTCACCAATATGTGCCCACACTCACACCAATATGTGCCTACACTCACCAATATGTGTCTAAACTCATACCAGTGTGCCCACACTCACACCAATATGTGCCCACACTCACACCTATATGTGCCCACACTCACACCTATATGTGCCCACACTCACACCTATATGTGCCCACACTCACACCAATATGTGCCCACACTCACACCTATATGTGCCCACACTCACACCAATATGTGCCCACACTCACACCTATATGTGCCCACACTCACACCTATATGTGCCCACACTCACCAATATGTGCCCACACTCACACCAATATGTGCCCACACTCACACCTATATGTGCCCACACTCACCAATATGTGCCCACACTCACACCAATATGTGCCCACACTGACACCTATATGTGCCCACACTCACCAATATGTGTCTAAACTCATACCAGTGTGCCCACACTCACACCAATATGTGCCCACACTCACCAATATGTGCCTACAGTCACTAACGTGTGTCTACTCAGCAATATGAATCCACACTCACTGATATGTGCTGAACTCACACTTATATGTGCCCACACTCACCAATGTTTGTCTAAACTCATACCAGTGTGCCCACACTCACACCTATATGTACCCACACTCACCAATATGTGCATACACTTACCAATATGTGCCTACAGTCACTAACATGTGTCTACTCAGCAATATGAATCCACACTCACTGATATGTGCCTAAACTTACACAAATGTGTGCCTGCAAGCACCAATATGTTGCCTATACTCACACCAATATGTTGCATATACTCACACCAAAATGTTGCCTATACTCACACCAATATGTTGCATATACTCACACCAATATGTTGCCTATACTCACACCAATATGTTGCCTATACTCACACCAATATGTTGCCTATACTCACACCAATATGTTGCATATACTCACACCAATATGTTGCCTATACTCACACCAATATGTTGCCTATACTCACACCAATATGTTGCATATACTCACACCAATATGTTGCCTATACTCACACCAATATGTTGCCTATACTCACACCAATATGTTGCCTATACTCACACCAATATGTTGCCTATACTCACACCAATATGTTGCCTATACTCACACCAATATGTTGCCTATACTCACACCAATATGTTGCCTATACTCACACCAATATGTTGCCTATACTCACACCAATATGTTGCCTACACTCACCAATCTGAGTCTGCATTAAAGATACTGTCTGTTCTTGTTTATCAATTTCAGCCTTAAGCGCCTGAATCTGCCTGTCCCGTTCTGCAACTTGGGAGTGGAGATTAAATATGGTGCGCTCGTAGTCTGCCATTTCAAGGTCCAGCATGCTGTTGTGTTTCATCGACTAAGGACAATTGTAAGTAATAGCTGATACATTATCTGTAACATCAATTACACCTTCTATCATCTGTAAAATTCTTCTTTCTAAACTAAGGTAAAGGTAAAAGTAAAGTTGGGAGATGTGAACCAGCATCGTTGCACACGGTTAAAACCATTAGGGCTCTGCCACCAGTATGAACAGCTGTTAAGAAACTGTCCGCCTGTGTCGCTGTCCGCACGAAACTCTGTAGCTACAGCCAAGTTCCTCCATTTACCCCAGAGTGTTAATTCTGGTACCCATTACGTGGAGGCTGGGTGAACCCTGGGAGCCGCCCAGTTTTGAACAATGGCCATAGGCTGCAGCAAGTCGAAGCTGGATTTGAAAGCGAGTCTCCTATCCACTGCGCTAATGTAGCCGCCTTTCTAAACAAATGCCTAACAAATCATGATTTGACACCATAAGAACACAGTTCTGATTTGCAATTCTGGTTTTAATAATATCACTGACCAACTCTATTATTTGTAATAAAACTGTGCAAATCTGGCATTTGTAATGTAACTGCCAAACCTGATCATTTAAAACATTCTTGACCAAGCCTACCATTTGTAATGTAACTGACCAATCCTATATTTGTAACAATACTGACTAACCCTATCATTTGTAACAGTACTGACCAACCCTCTCATTTGTAACATTAATTACCAACTTATCTGTAATATTACTAAGCAATTCTATCATTTTAACATCGCTGTCCAACTATACTATTTGTAACATTTCTGCCCAGTCTATTATTTGTAACATAACTGAAACACTCTACAATTTATAAAATTATTTACCAGATCTATCATTAATAATACTGCAGACCAACTCTACCATTAATAATAATACTGGCCAACTGTATTATTTGCAACATTACTAACCACATATTATTATCAGACAGACTATGGAAACAACATCATGCAGCAAATTCATTGAGAAACAGAAGATCAAATGATTTGGTCAGCTAGTAGGAATGCAGCCAGCCCCTCTACTAATGCAGGCACTACACTTGACAAGATCTGATGTGACAGCAAGAGGTCGACCTAGGCGAAGATGGTGTTGAGAAGCAATGCGAAGGGTGTATCCCCTTCTGACCAGGTGTCTAAAGGTGACTGATTATGCCGCACTTGTATATGCAAAAGTTCCCCAAGCCGACCTTCTGGCAACTAATCGGGTTCCCTACCTGAAAATACTAAGTTAACACAGTTTACATAGTCATATGGTACCACTAACACTGATAACAGTCAGCAGCCAACTCCATCAACAATATGGGAAGAGTCATCTCTATAATCGTGCATCAGTCTCTTTATTGGGACGACACACAGTATGAAGATGAAAATGAACTGGTGATACAAGACGACTGTCCATCTAATGGTCTACATTATATACACTGGTCTATATACACTGATATGTTTCCAAGGCGGTGTCACATGAAAAGGGAACACCTAGCCTCGACTTGAGGTGAGTCCACAACATATGCATTCAGCCTACTGGCCCACTCTTGTGGTCACCAGTGGCCTTAAGGAACGCTTCGGTTATGTGCCCACATTTTGGGTCACCAACAATCTATACATAATCATTGACTAGAGACTCTGCCCCAGGTACACCAAGTCTCCCGACACACAGCCGAATCAGAATCCTGATGAGGGACAACACGATCACATCCTAGCAGTTCAGCCACAAGTCACCGCCGGCATAATGGCAAAAAAACATGTTAGGCTCCACAAAATACACGCAACGGGAGCATTTTGGCTCATACGCCAAATTCTAATAAACGAGCTAAACTTTCACAGGACTAAAATGATACACATAATTACTGCTACAAATTCAGACATCTGGACATCCATCCGCCCAATCTGAACGACTGAAAGATACTAACTGGGCAAGCAAGCACGGTTCTCCTCCTGCTCAGCATCCAGCTCCCGCATGGTTCTCGCTAAGCGCGTGCAAACCACTGTTAGTCGTGAAACGCCTGAAAAACCTCTTTCACAACCTCGTGCATAGTGCAGATCTTTCTGCACCCGTCTTTCACCTCAAGCCACATGGACCCTTTGCCCACGTCTCTGTTACCATTATCATCCAGTGCCTTGACTTCACAACTGGCGTACAAGGAATGACACTCGCCACTGATGCTCATCTAACAATGGACGCAAACTGTTACTTCCTACGACAATTATCAGAAGAAGTGGAAACTGTTGATAATGATGACTAGCCAAATCTATCATTTGTACCACTGCTGACGAACATTATCATTTATACTGCCAACCAAGACATGCCTTAAAACCTAACAATACCTGTCTAGCTGCACTCAGCTGCTCCTCTGCATCCCTCAGGCTAGCCTCTAGCTTTGCTATGTGAACTTTATGCTCATCTTCAACTGCCTTCAACTGTGACTCAGATTCTAAGAGCTTGAGATCAGCCTGGAGAGTTGATAAACATAGATAAGTGGAAGAATACATCAATAATCTCTGGGTGATCTGTGTGACTGGGAGGTGAAAGAATACATCAATAATCTCTGGGTTAGCTGTGTGACTGGGAGGTGAAAGAATAAATAAATAATCTTTGGGTGATCTGTGTGATTGGGAGGTGAAAGAATACATCAATAATCTCTGGGTTAGCTGTGTGACTGGGAGGTGAAAGAATAAATAAATAATCTTTGGGTGATCTGTGTGATTGGGAGGTGAAAGAATACATCAAAAATCTCTGGGTTAGCTGTGTGACTGGGAGGTGAAAGAGAACAGTCAATAATCTCTGGGTTAGCTGTGTGATTGGGAGGTGAAAGAATACATCAATAATCTCTGGGTTATCTGTGTGACTGGGAGGTGAAAGAATACATCAATAATCTCTGGGTTAGCTGTGTGACTGGGAGGTGAAAGAATACATCAATAATCTCTGGGTTAGCTGTGTGACTGGGAGGTGAAAGAATACATAAATAATCTCTGGGTTATCTGTGTGACTGGGAGGTGAAAGAATACATAAAAATCTTTAGGTTATCTGTGTGACTGGGAGATTAAAAAATAATGTTTAGGTTATCTGGGTGATTGGGAGGTGAAAGAATACATAAATAATCTTAGGGTTATCTGTGTGATTGGGAGGTGAAAGAATACGTAAATAATCTTTGGGTTATCTGTGTGACTGGGAGGTGAAAGAATACATCTGTGTCACTGGATGGTAAAAGAATACATAAATAATTTTAGTGTTATCTCTGTGAATAAGAGGTGAACGAATACATAAACAATCTTTGGGTTTTCTGTGTGAATGGTAGGTGAAAAAATACATAAATAATCTCTGGGTTATCTGTGTGACTGGGAGGTGAAAGAATACAAAAATAATCCTTGAGGTATCTATGTGACTGGTAGGTGAAAGAATACATAAATAATCTTTGGGTTATCTGTGTAACTGGAAGGTGAAAGAATACATAATTAATTTTAGTGTTATCTGTGTGAATGGGAGGTGAAAGAATACATAAACAATCTTTGGGTTATCTGTGTGAATGGTAGGTGAAAGAATACATAAATAATTTTAGTGTTATCTGTGTGAATGGGACATGAAAGAATACATAAATAATTTTAGTGTTATCTGTGTGACTGGAAGGTGAAAGAATATATAAATAATTTTAGTGTTATCTGTGCGAATGGGAGGTGAACAATACATAAATAATCTCTGGGTTATCTGTGTGACTGGAAGGTGAAAGAATACATAAATAATTTTAGTGTTATCTGTGTGAATGGGAGGTGAAAGAATACATAAACAATCTTTGGGTTATCTGTGTAACTGGGAGGTGAAAGAATACATAAACAATCTTTGGGTTATCTGTGTGACTGGGTGGTGAAAGAATACATAAATAATTGTAGTCTTACCTGTGTGAAAGGGAGGTGAAAGAATTCTTAAATAATCTCTGAGTTATCTGTGTGAATGGGAGGTGAAAGAATTCATAACTAATCTCTGAGTTATCTGTGTAAATGGGAGGTGAAAGAATACAGAAATAATCTTTAGGTTATCTGTGTGAATGGATTTTCAGAAAATAGAAAATACAACTACCTCAAACAATGAAGCAACAAAAGAAGTTGAAGAATTTATACACCTGGAAAATAAAGTTACTCCAGATTTTGATTCTGAAAAGTATGTAACATCAAGAATAAACAAAATAAAATAAACACTTCCCAAAGTAAAGGACCCTTTTTCGTGCCTTCAGGCATATTGGGCATATAACTAGACATGTTGTCGTTTTCTTTTTTTTAAAGACCAATCGGCACTAAGTGGGTGATGTGGTCAGCATTCACTCTGGCTGCCTTTACTTCCCAGGATTCTACCTGGTACCCATTTACAGTTGGTGCAACCTGGAAAGGTCATTTTTCAGGACCATCAGGACCTAATCCCACAACCTTTGGAACTTCATATAAGCATCTAGCCGCTGTACCTTGGTGGCTCCCAATAACTTCCCAAGCTTAACAATAAGTGCTTTCCTGATGGTCCTCAGTATTATACTACCAATACAAATGCTTCCCTCATAAATCAAGAATAACTGACTTTTACCATGGCAAGACCTTTTGATACTGCTTACTTGATGAGGTAAATTCAAGACAAAAAGGACCCTACCTTCTGTTTCTCCTTGTGCAACTCCTCCAACTGTATTCGAACTGCAGCCATCTCTGTGTCTGTAGCTCTGAGCTTAGTTCTGAGCTCCTCTATGCTGCTGTCTTTAGTCTGTAAATTATGACGACAGTCAATACACACACACAAAATAAAAGTAACCAACACACTAGTAATAGTTTGTGGTAGTAAGATTAGTAGTGGTAGTGGTGACAGTATGGGTAATGGTTTAAAAAAAAAAGTTAGCTGAGTATCTTTAACAGGACGTTGCAGAACCAACCCCAACATTTTTTAGCTGTTTGGTTCTATTAGGGTATCTTAGAATTATAAAGTATGTTCGCAACAACGAAGCTACAGAAGCTGCATGGTGGTGCTAGTATAAATGGGATTTGTGTGCTACTGAGGCTTATATGGAGTGCAGGGAATAGCAACCATAACTGTCGCATGACAGCATCCACACATCTGCCACAGTAGGAAGGTCCACAGGCTGAAACCCCTAAACTCGTCATCGTAATTATGTATTAGAATAGGCCAAGCATAGTTAGATAGTTCGTTTGTTGTGGGGGAGTCCTGATAGGAAAAATCCATATAAAACCCTTTGATAATGACTCTTTTAGGCTTTGAGTGTCGAATTAAATGTTAGGACACATTTTCTACGCCTATTCTAAATAAATTGTCTGACCACTGCACTGCATTAGTGAGCGCGATTCGTACGCTAACTGCTGTAGTTAGGGGACGTGTTTGTGTGCGTCACTTCTCTACAGTCCGGTCTTGGAGGCAGGCGTTTTTCCTTGTGTCTCGCCAATTGACCGTTATACAGACAAGATTCATTATTCTCTTTTTTATTTACAATGGGATTTTCTGAAGATCCAACAAGTGTCTATGTTTGATAATGTGGTTCCAACTGCCACGACCCAGTAAACGATTTACGTATGCTGAATTACGGTGTTGAATGTGCGGACGACACTGGTGCCGGAGTCCCTCAATAGTGAGTCGAGTTTCCTGGATCAGCACCTGAAGCTGATTCGTTCCGGTGAAGTGAGTCGACAGTCCTTGATTAATACCAGAAGCTGATTCGTTCATGTGTGGTCGTACTGGGGAGTACGGCAGAGAGAGTTTCCTTTCCGGCATCCGGAGAAGCTGATTCATTCCTGTGTAACCGTGCAGTAAAGTACGGTGGCGTATTACTCCACTCTGAGACGCTGAGGAGCTACGAGATCTGATCAGATAAGTGACGTGGCAGACTAAGATAACTCGTCTCCAAATGTGCCTTCATGGTCATGTTTTCTCCATCGCCGTGATGAACACGATAGTCTATAAGTCTATTTAGAGGAATTCTTTCTCTTGTGTTAGATTTTCAAAGTTGCGATCGTTCCTTTTATTTCTTCGCTACGGTTTTCCTTAACTTTGTTATAGTAAATTAATTACAATCGTGATATAATTCAGTAGTCTTCTAGTTGATAGAAAAGTTTTGTGTTACTGAATTTTATTGTCTTATTCAGAGAGGCAGTGTTGTCTTGTCAAATTCGCTGTTGATTATTTGTTCGACTGGACTTGTTTTGTTCCAGTCTGGGGGCAATCTGTGGTGAGGACGTCTGGCCGAGAGGTACCCAAGTGTTCATAATAACCCTGTGGAGTCAGAGCTCGTGTCACCTCATCCCTGAGATAGGTTGAATGGAAAGTTTGAACCGAGGGTTAGGCCTCTAGACGAACGAGAGCCACCATTCAAAACACTCCTGTCTCAGAGCACCTGAGGGATTTATGTAAGTAAGGTGCGCGACAAAACTGCCATACGACAGTCACCTTCTGTGCTTGTAACAACAGCCAACTAATGAGTGTTTGCATGAGACAAGTTACACCACACCATTCAGTTTAAACATGTAGTTGAACAACGCAAAAAATTCTGATGCAGTCTTTTAAAGGCTTTATGAACTGGTTTAGGAGACAGCAATACGACCTGGTAATAATCTGCTATCTACTTGCTAGGTCTCCGCAGGCCACATGAGACCTAGCAAGTAGATTGCAAATTACTGCCAGCTGTATTGTATTACAATATGTCTATGTTAGTGCTCTTGCCCATGAAGATTCTTATTCTCAAAATGTTGGCCTCTGAGTATACTTTGCTGAATAGCCCTGTTTATGGCACCTCCTCCCCTGGAAGATATAGTGGCCAGTATGTATTTCTGGTGACCACACACGTGTTAGATTTTCTACTGATCAGACATAAATGTGATTTTTATCAGAGATGCATCAGTTAAGTGGTTTTGTGAACTCTTGTTTGTACTTGCGGTATTGTAGATTTATATAATGTACTAGCAAAGGCTATCTAGCCGCAATGTTCACATGTTGCTTGTTTTACTGTAAAGCTGTAAAAAAAAAAAAAGAGTCCCTTTTCCACGCCTTTAGGCGTATAGGGCATATAGGGCTAGACCTATATTTTTATAGAACAATCGGAACAATATGGGTAGTGTACTGTAAAGCTGACTGGTTCTATTTTCATTTGGTTTTATATCTTTTCATGGAAGATAAAGCAACAACAAAAAATATAAAAAATATTGAGGAAAAAAAAACCAGCAACAACTAAATTATTTAAAAGAAAAAAGAAGAAGTAAAAATCAAGAACAATATTAGACTTTTCTATAATCTTGGACAGGGTAGCAGCAAAGTGTTCAAGTGTCACATGCCCTGAAGGTCGTGGGTTCATTTCAGGGAGATCCTGGTGATCAACACTGGAGCTCTGTAGTTCGTGCTGTGTGCGACAACTCTCAGCGGTGACTAGCTGTTCTGAGAGAAAAAAACATTGCCATATGGAATAATAAGGTGCAGTAATGTTAATCCTCTCGACTTTAAGTTAACTTGTCAGCAACCTTGAACAGATATCATCTTCTCTTTTGTGTTCACCGGTTGTAAACTCTAGCAGAAGGTTTTGGGTGTTTGTCCACTTCTGGACTTTGGTTTTGTTCTAGAACTTCTCCTTGTTCTTTGTTTACTGGCTGTAAGCTCCAAAGGAAAGTCCTGGTTGTCTGTCCATTTGGACTTCAGCTTAGAACCAGGGCCTGAGTTTTGCTTCCATTTTACTGGATTATTTATGTGCAGTTGTTTGTCCATTTGGACTTCAGCTTAGAACCAGGGCCTGAGTTTTGCTTCCATTTTACTTGATTATTTAATCGACTCTTACAACAAGACTTTTTTGTATGCATTCTCTTGGCTCCTCACCTCCCTACCATGCACTCTGACTGTGAAGGAAACACCCAAAAATTAGTTGCCTCTTACAACATATTTATTTGGGGAGCAGTATTGGGAATAGTAGGCTACGTGGCTTTGGCATTGCAAGTCCGACTAGTAATTCCAACGTACCGCAAACTGAAACTCACTGCTAGCTGCGTAGATTTTTATAATGGTATGGGGCCTCACAGGCTGACCCAGCCCAATGTGGGTACCAGGATGTATGTCTTGGAGAAGTAAATACAACCGGTGTAATGCTGACCACATTACCCATCTTGTGCCAACTGGTCTGTAAAAACATGGGTGCTGTTCCCATATGCCTGATGTGCATAAGGCATAAAAGGGGATGTTTGCTTTTTTTTATAATTATTTGGAACAGGCAGTAGGCCTTCTCCCCCCTTCCCCCACCCCCCCCCCCCCCAAAAAAAAACTATAAAGGGGTCCTGGAATCCACATAGGGAGGACAGTTATGAGACAATTGTGCTGGCAACTTCCTACCTTAACTTCTGTCAACAAGGCATCAATCTGTTTCTTCAAGTGTTCTGTTTCTTCCTTGCTGGCAGCCATCTGACCCTTAGCCTCCGTCAACTGTGTCACCAGCTGCTCAATGTCCTTCTGTGCTGTCTTCAGGGCTTTCTTCTCCTTTTCTGCCTCATCCTGAGCAGCATCCAGGCTAGCCTGCACCTTCTGTAAGGAAAGCACAAATTTATTTATGTTAACAAAATGTTCTTTCCTGTCTGTATTTACCACTGTTAGGGTGGTGTAGTGCGGGGGGGGATCCCACATATCTGAGCATCGAGGAGAACTGGCTCATAAACAGCATTGCCTCCCAAAAGCAGAGGTATTGTGGCCATGTTGAATATCATGGTGGCCTGGACAAAACAGTGATGAAGTGTAGTTTCCAGAAAATGAGGCAGAGGCAGGCACGAAGATGGGTCAAACAAGCAGTCATTATCATCATACAGTAGAAAGTCACTCACATCACAGCCTGCCTGAAAGAAACTCAATCTCCTGCCAGCTCGTGCCTTTTCCTACCCTAAGTGTCTCTTATGTCTTGTTTCCATCTTCATGCCCCTGCCCTTCTTTCCTGGTACCATGCCTTCTGCCACTATTCTTTCCAATTCACCATGGCACTTGTTTCTGAGACATTATGCTGTTTGTTTATAAGCCAATCTTCCTTGATGTTTCAATCATTTAGATAAGTGAGCTGAGTAGTTTTTTTTGGGAGGGCAGGGGGGGGGGGGGGGAATTTAACTTGTTCAAATTTTCTGATTCAATGTCATTAAAGTTTTTTAAGTCTTCTGTCTTTTTCACTGGGAATGTGTAGTGCTATAATCTTTTCCTGTAATACTACAGAGGTTATATCTTCTACCTCTTCTTCTTGGCGTTCCCTGGCTGTAAACTCCAGTGAAAAGTTCTTGGTTGCTCTCTGAACTTTAGACTGGTTCCAGAATAGGTTAGCAGTTTGCATGCACATCCATATTACAGATCTGCTTTTTTTTGTGTGTAGACTGTTGGTTCCTTACCTCTCAGGCAGATGTACTCCGACTTTGAAGTAAACCCTTAATTAGTAAATTATTATGACACACTTTTTAGGGAGGGAGTGGGTCTATCCTCTCCCCCCCCCCCCCTCCCAATATGAGGTCTCAGAATCCAGCGGGGACAGATAGACATCTTCTTAACCCTCTTGCCTGGTAAAGACGCTAACCCGGCACTGCTATCAATCCCAGAGAAGTTTTTTAACCAGCACTGCTGCTTTGACCTTATTGAAACCCCTAGTTAATTGTTTGCACATGCAGAATATTTAGTAGCCCTAGATATAATTACACTTAATGGGGGGCTGAGTGGTCTTGAGGCATCCCGCCCGCCCCGAGTGCTGGGTTTAGGCGCAGTTGAAGGCTGGGATTTTTTTCACGTGGACTTCTAGTAATTTCCCCTGGTCTTTGGGTAGTAAGATCGGATGCCTGTGTGAATTATCACACGCGTAGAAAAAAATCCCTTGGCAGTTGAAAATTGAATAGAGTAGCTTAACAGCATTGCCTGGGCAAAATTTTGAGTTTAAAATCTCCCCAAAGAATTTCAGGATCCTCGGCGGTGCTACAGAGTTTGTGTACTGCGCTGAGATTCTTTGGATTCAGGCTTGAGTTAGAAGTAGAAGGGAGCACTTATGGGTTACTACAATTATGCCATGATGCTGATCCGTTGTATAAAACAAACCAAACCAATTATTTCATTTTTTTAAACAGCATTTTGAAATATTTTATTTGTGGGGGGAAATGGCTTCTTTTAATGATGATGTCATAATTTCCCCTTAAGCCTTTAGGAACTGGAGTCAAAGATCACAGTGTAGGTCAGCCTATAAACTAATTGTTTAGGAGCAAGGGAAAGAAGTTGTTTGATTCGCTGATCCAGTTGTGTTTATTGATTACTTCATTTCATATTTTGTATTTTATTATTTTTCTTCGCGTTCACTAGCTTTAAACTCCGGCAGAAAGTTCTGGTTGTTCATCCACTTCTGGACTCTAGTCCTGTTCTAGAAACTGAGCATTGCATGCACATCGGTTTCACATGTCTGACTCATTTGCATGCAGATTGTTTGTTGCTTCCTTGCCTTTCAGGCAGATGAACTCAGACTTCGAAGGAAGCTCCCAATTAGTCAACTCTTACGACACAGTGGGTAGGCAGTGGGTATGTTCCTATTTTCCCCCACAATGGGGCCCCGGAACTCACATGGGGATATGTCCTGAGTATTTTTAAGGTTTTTTGTTTAGAAATTCACAAATGGTTTACTTTTACTTACTCGCTCCTCTTCTACTTTGGGTTGTAGAGGTTTGCTAGAGAGATCTCCAGATTTCTCTATCAGCAGTTTTCTTGCTAGCTTTGTTCCATTCAAGTCCTCTGTCCATCAGGGACTGTCAGATGTTGTCTTCCCAGTCAACCCTGGGTCATCCTGGTGGTCTGGTTCCCTGGTTCTTGGCCTCCCATGCCTGCCATAGTGGCTGATTCTCTCCCATCCTGCATACATGTCCAAACCATCGTAACTGTGACTGATACACTCGAGTTTGTAAGGCCTGGGTTTCAAGGTAATGACATATTGTCTGACTGCAAACTTTGTCCTTTTTTGTCACTTGGACCACCTTTCTCAACACCTCAATTCTGAGGCAAGAAGCCAGCTTATGTGAGCTGTTGTCTTTGCCCCTGATAGGTCAGGACTGGCACTTAGGTAGCGTGGCATACAGCCATTTTTTGTCCACACTGCTAATTTCTCTTTTGCTGAGAAACCCCATGTTTGTGGCCTGAAAAAGTCTCCCAGCTGCTGCTTTTCAAGCAGCCAACTCTGACTTGATGTTTCGATTCTGATCTATTATGACTCCAAGGTTTTAACTGGCTGACTTGCTCCAGTGCATTTTGTCCCATCATGATCTGATGTTTCTTCCTCTTTCTTGAGATCACCATGGTTTTGGTTTTGTAGACACTGATGTTCATTCCTCTCTTCTCAAGCTCTTCCTTTCAGATATGCAAGTTGGATTGAAGATGTGCCTCTGATTACCTATCAGGGCCACATCTTCTGCAAATGCCAGCTCTCTAAAGGGTTTTGAGTGCAAAAGGGTTCAAGCAGGCACTTTAATAAATACTTTCCCCCAAAAAAAATTTGATAACGCACCCAGCATAGCTGTATAAGTCTTGGAAAAAAGCAATCCAACAGTACCTCACTCAAGTCTGTAAATCAATTCTAAGCTGAGATATTAATGTTTGAGTGTCAAATTTCCAACTTTATATGGAAATCGAGAAAAGTACTTTTTCAGCAGTTTCAAAAAATGTGTTTTATCACTTTAATTACTATTACCTTTTTTGTTTGTGGATATATACCATAGCAACATTATATCACTATGTTTGTGACATTGAGGCTTAACAGGGAAAAACATTATTTTCGTAAAATTGTGTCAAATGATTACATTAATAATTATAATGGCTTCTCATTAATATTTTTTGAAATGAAATAATGTTACATAAATACTATAAACATTGTAAAAAAAACATACCTTTTTTTCTCTCGTTAGTTAATGAGGCCCACAGGTCACATTTACATTAAATGTTTAGACCAAATTAATAATTCAAAATGGTGACAATTAATTTTAAGATCATTCATCCATGATATAGAAATAATTAACAGAGCAAACCATTTTAACACCATACATGTTTTTTGTGCGTTTAATGAGAAAAACCTGATGGTCACATTGCTATATAGTATTACTAATTGCCACACTTGATTATTAATTCAAAATTTAGGTCAATTAATTTTGAAGTCATTAATCTACAATAAATTAATAAATAATTATGGTGAATGTAACAGTCACACTGCCATGGTATTGGCTGTTGATTAATTTTTGAAGTCATTAATCTCTGAAAAGTCAATAGATAATTGAGTAGATAACATGAACCATATGATTAATTTGTGTGATTTGGTGAGACGAACCTATGTCATACTGCCATGTTATTATTAACTGTCAGACATGATTATAAATTTTAAAAAAAGCTGCAAGTTACTTTTCAAAGTCATTAATCCCTTATATTGTATGAAATCATTCTGCCAATCTTAAGTTAAGAACCACACATCTGGTCTGTAAAACAGATGTGCACCCAAAGGTGAACTTCTGAAATAAGACCAAAGTCCAGAGATTTAGGAACAACCAGAACTTTCCCCCAGAGTTTACTCCTGGCGAACTTGAAGAAAAAGAAGCCCAAGGCTCTTGGGCCTTGAAGACAAGTAATCTAGCCATGACACTACTGCAGCTCTCATGGAGTACATTACCTTGTAATTTTCCTGCAGGTGTTTGAACTGTTGACTCAGTAAGTCAGATGTACCCTCTGACTGCTTGCGTAATGTCTCGTTCGTGGCCTCCAGGGCTTCCTTGGCCTTGGTCAACTGGCTGATCTGTTTTGTAGCTATTTCCAGCTAGAAACAAAAACAAAATTACAAATTACTAACTTAAAATAAAAATTCCCTATGCTCTGACTTCAAAAGAAAAACACCTAAATAACTTTATGACATGCTTGTTGATAGGTGAGGGGAGCGGTGGGCATATTTTTCTGTTTTGTAGCTACATCCAGCTAGAAACAAAACCAAAATTAAAAATTACCAACATAAAATAAAAATTCACTGTGCTCTAACTTACAAAAACACACCTAAATAGTCAACTTTTATGACATGCTTGTTGATAGGTGAGGGGAGCGGTGGGCCTATTTTTCTGTTTTGTAGCTACATCCAGCTAGAAACAAAACCAAAATTAAAAATTACCAACATAAAATAAAAATTCCCTGTGCTCTAACTTACAAAAACACACCTAAATAGTCAACTGTTATGACATGCTTGTTGATAGGTGAGGGGAGCGGTGGGCCTATTTCTACCCCTCCAAAATCCCCCCCCCCCCCCCTTTCCTTCCTTAGATTAAAAAACAAAAACAAGGAAAGGTCATACCGAAACTGTGTCAAGTCTCTAATTTGAGAATATTATTATTATTCTTCTTTCGTTCGCTTGAAATAGACTATCTATATCTGCATTGTTGTCTCTAGTATGAACTTCATTGTCTTTTGTAGTTCACTCAGAGAACCATAAAGTTTGACTTGCACCGATGTTTCTCTTGAGAATAGTGATTACTGAGGATTATCATCACATCACTAAGGACACGTCCATAGGTGCTACAATCACCAGCTTAATAGCTCCTCATACATAAAATGACTGATCATGCCCATGCTGTATTGATTAATCAAATGGCTTGTGTCCTTCCTGAAATGTTCATGTCTGGAGGTTCCAAGTTGCACTCTCACATATAGAAACCTGAAGAGGGATACAAAGGATGATTTTGGGTGTGCAACATAACAGCTCAGTCAGAGAACGAGGAGCTCAAGGATGATGTAGTCTGTCCTGTTCCTGGGTAGTGGTTCAGGCCTTAGGCTTAAAGAAAAAAGATGAACAAATGGGAGACTGGTCCAGGGTGCAGGTTGAAAGCTGCATTGCAGTTGGATAGTGCAAAGAGAAAGTCAAAGCTGATTCAAAGAAGATTTGAACCAAAGACCTTGCAGGCTAAAGACAAGCATCTACTGAGTGCAGCTCACCTCATGCTTTCTTCATGTTTTTATCTAATTTTCAAATTCTTCTTCTTCAAGTGTTTTTAGGTTGTGAGTTCTACTGCAAGTATATCTAGTTGTATTATGAGGTTTTCTCAATGTGTGGCCCACTCACACCAGGTTTTGTACTCTTACCTCTTGATTCACAGCAACTTGTTTAGCACTCTCACAAAGCTCCCCATTGGTGATTCTGTACTATTATTGAATTCCCTCTAAAGGTAAAAGTAAAGATGAGAGATTCAACTTCACTGTACCGGGTTTTATCCTATATGGCCCAGTCTCTCTCCACAGAACAGCTAGCTGCCTTCTGAGAGCACTGCACAAACCCCAACTTCGTAACTCCGGTGACGATCCCCCAGGAATCTCTATAAAAACTGCCCTTGTGAACTGAACAGCTCCACTATGAAACAAACCCACCACCTTCAGAGCGCGAGGCAAATGGCTTAACCACTTTGCCATGGAGACACCTACTCTGCACAAACATGAAACATAAATTACAAGAACTCAAAACTCTAGGAAATTTTTCTTCTCACCTTTGTCTGCTTGTCCCCCAGCTCCTTTTTAGTCTTGATAGCCAGCTGCTTCAGTTTGGAGTTGATTTCTTCTTTCTCCTTCAGCTGCTTCCTCAGCAAATCCATTTCGGAACTCTCCTTTAAAAGAAAACCAAAATGTGTTTACTTTTTACTAACATTCAAATATTTAGGTAGGTAAGAGGGGGAAGACTTAAAATTCTAAACTGAACAAAGTACTAGACATAGAGAATGTAATTCTCACATAAAAAACCTGTACCAATGAATGAATCAGAGACAGAGGATAATTAAAACAATTATTAATAAACTAAAAACAATTATCAGAATGTGTCTGTGCAGAACAGAAGTAGTAAAATGGTATAGGGAGTAAACTAAACAGATCTTGGTGAATCAAATAGTGAGGAAAACAATGCCTGCTCTGAAGAGGACAAATATTGAGAATATTTTGTAATAGTGTCAACAGACTTTCCTTTAACTGAAACTTATAGAGAAAAAAAACCCACAAGAGTGACCTCACACACACACACACACAACATGGAGAAGAGAAAGAGATTAATAATATATAGAAGAAACAGGAAGAGCTGCTGAAGATGACAAAGGATAGGAGTTTGTGATGCGAGATGGTTGAGGGTTTATTCTTTTTTGGAAAATAAAAGGCGAAGGAAGATGAGGAGGAGGAAGAAGAGGAAAAAAATTTAAAGGAGGAAGAGACAAAAACTATATAGTAAAACTGTATAAAAGTTAAAGAATAGCTATTTGTAGTTATCTTCTTCTTTTTCTTCGCGTTCACCAGCTGGTAAACTCTGGCGGAAAGTTCTGGTTGTTTGTCCACTTCTGGACTGCAGTCCTGTTCCAGAACTTGAGTGTTGTGCGTGCATCCATTTGACAGATCTGACTAATTTGTATGCAGACTGTTGGTTCCCTGCCTCTCAGGCAGATGCACTCTGACTTGGAAGGAAGCTCTCAATTAGTCAACTCTAACGACAGGCTTTTGGGTAGGGAGTGGGTCTATTCTTGTTTTCCCTTTAACACAGCCCCGAAAACCCACACAAGGAGTAGTAATCTAACATTCTTAAGGCTAACAGGAATATTTCTTTGAAATCAGGGTTAGACGTTTGAGAAGAAGAAACAGATAAGACATCTGAAAATTAAAAAAAGATTAGATATTTGAAAAGAAGAAGAAAATTTACAGTTCTGCAAATATTTTGTAAATGCTGCATGGCCTTGTATGTTTCAGACTTTCCTTTAACTAGTATTTTCAGTATATGTCCTCCTGGAAAAATATGCTGGGGCTCAACAGCAAAAATGTGGAAATAGGACTATAAACACCCCTGGACATTAAAACATATACATACAACCGTACCCTTCTAGAAAAATATTTTAAAAAAACTTGACCACGTTCAGCGAAGCTGCCAACAGCCTCAGGTCATATCTGCGGTCTGATTTATTTGCGCCACCTGCGCGGCTAAATTTGTAGTATGTGCACCAGCTCTCCAGCTTTATGTTCCTATCCTAATAGCTAGACTGCTCCTTCCTGTCTGTGACCCAATGCGCTTCTCTTATCCTTATCTTCCTGATGTTTTTCCTCGTGGGTCATCCGCCATCAGGTTCCTTCTCATTATTTTCTCCTTGGGTGTTCCAATGAGTTTTCAAATCTATCAAAACTTGTGAGGGAGTTAGCAAAGAAATGAGAGTCTCTCTAGTAGGTGTGGTGGGTAGGAAAGATGTTCTGCAAAGTTTTTGCTGCATGATGATGATGATGATGATAATAATGTATACTAAAACAAATTTTTTTTCCCCACACAGATATATGCTTACCTCAGAACTTTTTTGCAAATGCTCTTCACTCTTCTCCTTTGATTCAAATTCCAATGCAGTCACTCTAGTTTTGGACTCTTCAATCTGAACTTTAGAATCACTCAGATTTTCCTTTAGTTCAGCTATTTGCTTTTTCAGCTGCACGACTTCTTCTTCTGAGATCAACAAACTGGACAGCAAATTCTCCTTCTCTTTGGTTAATACCAACAGCTCAGAATTCAGCTTCTCTTTCTCAAGCACAGAGCTGTCTAGGTGTTTCACTGCAGCATCCCTCTCTTCCTGTGCAACAGTGAGGCTCTGCTTAAGGGTTTCTACCATTTTCTCAGTTTGTTCTATTTTGGAGACAAGCTCGACTCTTTCAGTCTTGACCTCCTCCAGTTGTAAGGCCAAGTTATTTGCAGATTCAATAGACTCAGCCAGTCTGGCCTTCATATCTGAGACTATTTCTTCATAATCTGAACTCTGATTTAACCAGATAGTTTTTTCTTCTTTCAAACTGTCCAGCTGCATTAGCAACTCATTATTCTCTTTCCGTGTGGCTTCCAGTTCATGTTCCAATGATGCTACATGTTTATGCAGTGGCTTCACTGTGTTCTCTGATTCAACCAGTTGATTTTTCAGCACCTCCTTCTCTGTAATCATCTGCTGTACATTTTGCTCTAGGTCATACTTATCTTTCAGACTTTGTTCTATCAAAAGAACTTGATCATCCTTAAGGCACCTGAGACTGTTGATTTCTTCTCTGCATCTGTCAACTTCTGCATCTTTTTCTTGTAACAGCTGCTCCAGTTGAATGCACTTTTCTCCAAGCTCCTTGCATTTCTCCTCTGTGTTACTGGATATGTCAACAGATGATGCTAGATTACATCTCAGTTCTTCTAGCTGCTGAACTAAGTTCACATTCTCTTGTTCCCATACAACAATTTTTTTGTTTAAATCTAAAATATCTGTATCTTTTTGCAGAATCTGTTGTTCCAAATCATGTGTCTTATTCTGTTCTTGTCTGAACTCTGCCATAATTTTATCCCTTTCTAATTTTAATGAGTCTATAGTATCAATGCCTGTCTGCTGCAGAGACTGCAGACTTTCCACAACTAACCTCTCTAAATCAGTACATCTTCTCTTTTCAACCTCAAGTTTGCCAAATATCTGGCTACTCTCTTTAATCATCTGATCAAATCTGTCTCCATGTTTACTAGTTCTATCTTCACGCTTTTCCATTTGTAATCTCACTGTGTCTATGTCCACCTTCAGCTGCTGCAGCTCTAACTGCAACTGATGAAGCTGATCAACCACATCTGGGTTTGAAGTCTCAGCTGCATTTATACATTCTCTAATCTGCAAGAGATGACTTTCTGTAGCATTAATTTTCATCTGAAAATCGTCTATCTGTGTCTTTCTCTTTTCAACTCTTGCCTGTGTATCTTCCAACTTCGACAACCATTCCTCAACCTGCCTCTGAAACTCATTTTTCTCAGTTTCCAGGGTTTTAATCTGAGCTGATAACTCTGCTGTGGTTCTAATCAATTTCTCCTTATCATCTACAGATGAATTCAAGTCTTCCTCTGCCTTAACGAGTCGCTCCTGGAGTTCAGAATGACTTTGCTTCATAACCTTGAAAGACTCTTCTAATGTAAACAGGGCCTCACTCTTGAGTTCCAGCTCCTTCTGTACTGATGCTCGCATGGATGATTCTTCATACAATGATGCATTCTGGGATTCTAACTCCTGCTCTACAGCTGCTTTCCTGGATTCAAACCCTGTTATCTGCTCCTGGAACAAGTGCATCTGTCTGTCTGTTTCACTTTTATCAGTAACCAGGGCTTCATAATCATTCTTTAACAGTAACAGTCTCTCTTCAGCACTTTCATTCTTCATTTTCAAGTCAACTATCACATTATCAAGTTCAGCTTTTTCATTTACCACTAAAGACAACTGTTCCTTCAAACTTTCTATTTCCTGACCTAGAGAGTCTACATGTATGGACAACTGATCTCTTTCTTCACACAGTTTATCTATTTCTTCCTTCAATCTGTCTCTGTGTTCTTGCAGTTTAGTTCTTTCTTCTTGTACTTTATCACTTTCTTCTTGCAGCGTATCTCTTTCTTCTCGCAGTTTATCTCTTTCTTCTTGCAGTGTATCTCTTTCTTCTTGAAGTTTATCTCTTTCTTCTTGGAGTTTATCCCTCTCCTCTTGCAGTTTATCTATTTCTTTTTGCAGTTTATCTCTTTCTTCTTGGAGTTTATCTCTTTCTTCTTGGAGTTGATCACTTTCTTCTTGGAATTTATCTCTCTCTTCTTGCAGTTTATCTCTCTCTTCTTGGAGTTTATCTCTCTCTTCTTGCAGTTTATCTTTTTCTTCTTGAAATTTACCCAAAGAAGCTGTTAGCTGTTCTATGGATCGCTGATATCCTACTTGCTGATTCTGCAGATCGGCTATCTGCTGAATATACTCGGCCGCAGCAGTGTTATCCGAGGACAGCTGATCAAGTTGTTCTTTCAAATTGCTGTTTCGTTTCTTGGAATCTGACAGAGAGTTCGACAGCTCAAGGATCTGGAAATAACAGTAGACATTGTTAAAATCATGACGAGATTTCTTGAGAAAACAAGAATATAAGAATAAACACACTACCTCCCCAACAAGCATGTCATAAGAGTCGACTAACTGGGAGCTTCCTTTGAAGCAAAGTGAATCTGCCCAAGCCGCAAGGAACAACCAACTGCACACATGTAAGCCAGTAAAACTAATGTAAATCCAAAACTCAGGCCCTGGATAATAGCCAAAGTCCAAATGGATGAGCAACCAGGACTTTCCACAGGAGCTTACAGCAGGTGAACAAAGAAGAAGAAGATTTAATAATCAGTAATCACCATATTTCCAACACCATTTTGGATTAGTTTTTCATAAACACCAGGCTCAAGTTTCTTGGCTGGTGAGAGAGGAAGAGGCAAGACTGAGCAGAATGAAGCATATCATATAAACAACTTTCAGTATGGGAATGGAGACTAAGTCTGCCATTACAGCCATTACTGAGATGGTTTTGCAAATTTAAAATATCAAAGCAAATACTGTTCTGACCCTCCTTTCATGCTCTGCAAGGTTATGACTGGATGCTGATGACAGGAGTGGTTCCACTGTAGAGGTCTCAAACATTTTGAGGACTTATTTGGATATATATCATTTTGTCCATATACAGAAGAGCAGAAACAAGATAATTCATTCAATGACAGATTGGTGCACAATAAAAACTTCACGGATCTTTATTTAACCAGTGTTGTAAAGGTACAAAAGGAAGTCGTCATGGTGTTGGCGTCTAGATGCCCACCTGCGGATCGGAAGGTCGTGGGTTTACATCATGGCGGAACCTAAAGTTTTTTTCTTCAAAAATGACCTTGACTTCCAAGTCTCAGCCTTGAGTGGGCACTTAGTGCAGTCCTGGGAGGTAAAGCTGCCAGCGTGATGCTGACCATATCACCCACCAAGTGCCAAGTGGTCTGTAAAAACATAGCTCTAGCCCTCTATTCCCAATATGCCTAAAAGTGTGGAAAAGGGTCCTTTTTTTACAGGCACAATCATCATCTGCACCAATGCTTTAATTCTTCTCCATTAATAACAAAATAGTCAAGTGACCGAAAATGTAAGTGATGACTACAATAGTAATTGATTTCCGGTCAAAATGGACGTTTGGCACTGTTCGAAACAGAGGCAAATTTTTTTGCTTCTGCTGGACGGTGCCAATGCATTTTTGTTCCATATGTAGACTGGATATAGTTTTGTCACCCAGCTTCTGAGTTGAATGCATGGCGTGACCCTGTGAGCTGCAGATTGCATCTGGAATGTTTTTCGACTGTGACCAACGTTTTGGTGTGAATTGTAGATTCAGAAAATGGTGCGATGCCTGTCGTGCAGTGTTGTGGTGCCCGTATGTGATTAAAATTTATTGCGTGGGCAACTGCTGATCTGTTGGCGACTTCTGCTACCATCAATGATGAACTGCAATTCTAATACTGTGATAAACATTCTGTGTGTTTTTCGTTGGCACAGGAGCGGAGCAAAGATGGAGTGACCCGTTTGCTATGAAGCTGAAACTAAGACTACCAGAAATTGATTGGAACAATGCAAAGCATGAAAATGAAGACATAAAAGAACTGGCAGAAAAAAAAAGATTTAACAAGAAAATACAACAAACTGGATGAAATTAAATAAGACAAGCTAAGGCAGGTAAGATAAGATAAAAGAGTAAAAAGGCAGAAATGAGACATGCAAGAAAGACAAATTGTATGCATGTCAAGACTGAGAAGACAAATTGTGCAAGGCATAAAATAAAATAAGATAGAACCAATCAGCAAGTAATTACACAACAATCCTACCTGGCTTTCAAGATTCAAAGCATAACTTTTCCTCTCCTCTGCAACATCTTCTGCAGTTTTTGCCTGCTCTTTGGCCACACTCAGGGCAGATTTCAAAGACTCAATTTCACTTTTGAATGCCTCTGCCTGTTGTCTGAGTTCTTGCAAGCTCTCTTCCATCTCTGAAGACATCTTCAACTGGGTTTCATAGCTCTCACTAAGATCTGCTCCCTTGTCTTCAGCTAAATGGAATCGAACCAAAAGAGATTCCTTCTCTCTTTCAATATCATCTTTCTCGGTTCTCAAATGTTCCACTTCTTGTTTCAGTTTGTCTATGGTAGCTGTTGCTTCAGCTTTAGCAGTGAGTACCTTGTCCAGTTCTGACAACAAGTTATTTCTTTCTGCAATAATGTCTTCAATCATCAGTTTCATCTCTCTAACATCTCCCTGGGCAGAGTCCTCATGCTGAGACAGTTTAAAGACCTCATCCTGCAGGGTGTCTCTTTCGGTTATAGCTTCGTTTAAAGAGGACAAGAGAAATTCCAATTCCTTCCTCAGTGAAAGATCTTTATTGGTATAATCCTCCAGCTCATGTGCCAGACAATCCTTCTCTTCTTTCAACATCCCCATCATGTTCTCCCACTCCCGCAGCTGATTCTGGAGCACCTCAATCTCAGACTTTAAACTGTCCCTTTCCGCATGCAGCTCTTCCAGCTCAAAGGTGACAGTCTCATGCTTGTCCCCCAAGATCACCAGCTTCTCCTCCAAGTGTTGCCTGTGAGCCTGAAGACTGGCAATAATCTCTGAATGGTTATCTGCCTCTATATCATCCTTTGCCTTCTCATCACATTTTCCAAAGGTTTTCTCTAGCAACTGCTCAGATTTCAACCTCAGGCCATCATTCTCCTTTTCCAGCTCTGCAATTCTGTTTTTCAGCATGTACATTTCTTCAGCACTGCCTCCTTGATATGAATCTTCAGACAGCACATGGCTGGAGACTTTAATAAATTTCTCAATCCTTTCTACACTGATCTGACCATTGGTTTCTTGAACTCCCTCAGCATCACTACATTCAAACTGCTTCTGCTCTTCCTGAGCTAATCGATCCCGCTGCAAGTGTAGCTGATCATTCTCAGGTTCTTCCTCAATATCAGGCAGATCTGACCAGCCAGACTGCTGTAAGCTTCTAGAATCTTCAGTAGGTTCTCGATCCCCAGCCCCGTACATGGATGTTGAGCTTTCAATCTCAGACAGCTTCATCTTGGTTTCTAGCAGATCCTGCTGCAGATTCTGTATCACTTCAATATTGAATTCACTTCCCAGGTTGGTTTCAAAATCCATTAACTTAGAATTTGCATGTGCCAGATTTTGTGTGAGTTTATCAATGTGAGCTATTTTCTCAGATAAAACTGCGCCTGCTTTTTCACTGCTTTCAACCTTATCTTCAAGAACAGCAATTTTCTCTAGTAGAATTTCTTTCTCCCTATTTGCTTCTTGCAGACCCATTTCCAGCTGTGTTATCTCAGTTGTTTTCAAATCCAATTCTGGCTTCTCAAATTCTACGACCGAGTTCTCAAAAGAGGAAATCCTTTCTTTAAGTCTTTCATTTTCATCACTGATAGCATCAATATTGATTTTCATCTGCTCCACTTGTGCAAGCCTTTCTTCATTCACTGTCTGTAGTGCACATTTTTCTGCTCTCAAATTTTCAAGTTCACTTTGTAAAGTATGACAGGTTTCATTTAACAATGCCTTCTCTTGGCAAACTCTTTCAATTTCAGCTCCAGAGATACTTTGCTGCTTGTCAAATTCCTCCTGTAATGTCTTGATATTCAATTTGAGTTCTTCAATTTCTGCCAGAAGCGGGGCCATCTGTTCCTGATTCTGCACAGGATTGATTTCTTGCTCAGATGCCTCAGCTTCATACTGCTGCACACGATCTTCTGCCTGTTTCAATTTCTCCTTCAAGTCAGTGTACTCCAGCTCTAGGTCTTTCAATCTGCATATCTCAGACTGTAACAACTCTACCTGCTCCCCTCTCTGCTCATAGCTGAACTCTAAATTTTCCAACCGCTTCTGAATCTCCAAATTTTCATTCTCTACAACTTTAAGTTTAGACTGCAGCTGGGCATTATCTATAGTTATTTCTTTACTTTCCTCAAGCGCACTTCTAGTTTTTGATAACTCATCCAAAAGTGATTCTTTTTCAACTTTCCAAGCAACAGCCTCTTCTTCTAGATCTTCAAGTTTAATCTGTAGGTCAGATTTTTCTGCAATGAGCTTCTGAAAACCAAAAACAAAAAAAAACTATCATAAACTTTTTCAGCCCCCACAAATAACTCAGTTTTTACAAGAGCTGTGGTTACATAACAGTGTGCGTGGATGCTGAGACAGTGGTCAAGATTCAATTCCCCAAATGTTGTAGGATGTTTTTCCAAACAGTGCAAATCTGAGATCAAACCATCTCATGAAAATGGGTACCAGAACAATTCCAGAAGTTTCTGGAATTATATGGATAGGAAATATGACAAGAGAGAAAACAGGCCACCTTATCTCATATCTTCTTCTTATTAGCATTCACCAGCTGTAAAGTTTGATGGAAAGTTCTGGTTGTTTATCCACTTCTGGACTTTGGTCTTGTTCCAGAAGCTGAATTTTAGGTGCACTTCCATTTTTTAAATCTGGCTTATTTGTATGCAGACTGTTGGTTCCTTGTTGGTGGGTCTATTTTTTTTTTCATTAATGGACTCCAGTGGGTCTACTGTCCTCCCAATCCCCTTCCCCCTAAAAATGGGGCTGTGAAACCCACACAGAAAATCCCCAAATAACATATGCTAACACTTGTGAAGACTTAACTTTTCATATCTAAATGCTGTGTCTGCTATGGGACTAACTTTAACAGATGTGCCAGACAGTTCTAGCTATAACCAAACTTACAGTAATTAACCTAACTATCGTCAGTTAAGGCATCCTGGGATGGTTGCTGCATCAGAGAGCTAAGCATGCATGGGAATGCCCAATGTACAGTGACATCAATTTTGGTATATAACATAATAAAGCCTAACTTAACCTGGCTTATCCTATCCCAGAGCGTTTTCACCTTAAGTTCTGTTTCAATCAAATATGATTTTAACAATTTTTCGCCATTCTCTTATAACTTTAAACTGTGGCAGACATTTTTTTTTAAAGTATGGGGGAACCACAAAACATGTCCGAAGAGTGGGTCTAGAATTTGGTTCTTTCCTATTTAATTATTTTAACCCACTCTCTTCTTCTTGTCTGAGAAAAATCGAGAATAAAAAATGGGATACATTCAGAGTGAGGAGATCAGAGAAATGTCTTGACAAATACCTGTATCGACTGTAATAAGACAAAGAAGGTGGAGACATATTGGGCAGACTTTGAGATGAAATGAGCAAAGAATTACAAAACAAGCACTGAAATGGGAAACAAACGGTCTGAGAAAAAGAGGACGTCCAAGGGAAACATTAAGAACAACATTATTACAAGAGGCAAAAAATGCTGGGCTGAACTCCCTGTCAGAAATTGAGAAAGTTGCAATATGCTTGCTGGGGGAGGGAGGGGAGGGGACAGTGAGTCAGTTCTTCCCCTCCTCCAATTGGGGCTTCAGAACCCACATCTTCTCCAAACTGTGAGAGAATCTCAATATTCAACATCAACAAGCCATCATGTGCTGGTCTTCTGCATCCTGCTGAATTATGATATTGGAAGGGAAAAGAAGAGCTCTGCAACATAGTCCCTGTGGACATGGTATGTTCATATTGGATCAAATGATTTGTCTACACCAACCTAAATTTGATAGAAGAAAGCTCTTTTTGAACTCAGATAACTTGAAACCAATGTTGTAAACATAAAGAGTTGAAACTCAGTCTTTCAGACAACCAACTAACCAGACATCTTCAACTGTTTTTAAATTTCATTATTCTGGTAAACAAAAAAGCTGCTTTGATTGGCTTTGAACCAGGTGTTTTCCTGAGTCAGCCCACAAAGGGTCAATTCCATACTCTTGCCTAATATAGGAAAACTAGACACCAAATGAGGACAGAACAGCATGCATTTGCTCTGCATTGTGGAAATCGATAATGCAAAAGGATATATTGAGGAGACCAAGAAATAAACTGTAACTTCTGGATATCATGGGTGACAACTCCATCTCAGTTTTTCTGTTCTCTGCCCCTACCCCCTCCTTTTTCCCATCAGTTACCTCAGGAAAGTGTTGGGAAAAGAATGTAAGAATCTTTCCTCTGTGTTGCTTATATTTCTTCAAGAAGGCTCTCCCTCACTCTGGTAGTTGGTGTCAAAGCATTCTCATCAGATGGTAACCAATTTCCTTCAATCTCAACAAGACTGCAAAATGCCAGAATAGCCCCACAATAAATCTACATCTTTATAACAGTGCCAGGGTGAGAGACTAATAATCATTTGTTCAAACCCCCGTGTGGGTTCCGGAGCCCTAATATAGGGAAAACAAAAATAGACCCACTGCCTGCCCAAAAGCATGTCGTAAGATTCGACTAATTGGGAGCTTCCTTCGAAGTTGGAGTGCATCTGCCTGAGAGGCAAGGAACCAACAGTCTACACTCAAATGTGTCAGATCTGTCAAACAGATGCACGCGCAACACTAAGGTTCTGGAACAGGACTGCAGTCCAGAAGTGGATGAACAACTAGAACTTTCCACAAGAGTTTACAGCTAGTGAACGCAAAGAAGAAGAAGAAGAAGATTTGTTCAAAGAGCAAAATGTTCAATTAGATTAACTAGCGCACACACATCCCCCATCCCCCCCACCACACACACACCCACCCACACACATAAGTGAATTATCTACCTTGTTATTTTCTGACATGATTGTCTGCTCCTGTTCTAGGTAGAGAAGTGTGGAGGTCAAGGTCTCATCTTTCATCTTCAAGCATTCAATGTCTTCCAGAAGATTCTGGAGATGCAGAAATGATCACCTTTTGAATAGTACAGATTAAATGACAGTCTGGATATCACTGTTTGAATATACTGTCAGCTAACAGTACTTGCTAATGAAAGCTTTTGTGGCTGTCCAATTATTGGCTTTGGTCAGCACTGTTTAAAAGCCCTTTTAGCCAGCACAAGTTAATGAAAGCTCAGTGACTTTCAAGTTACAGAAATTACTGCTTAAAAATGTCCTTAGTTAGCACTAGTTTACAAAAGCTCAGTAACTGGATTGTGATAAAGAGTTAGCATATTTGTCTACTGCCGATTAGGTCTGGGAATAAACACCTCATTAGGTTTCCTGTTGATCTTAGTTTTGCAGTACAAGGCATCCTGAGGTATAATTACGTCAAAGGAAAAAGAATATGAATGAAAATCAAGATTGAATTATGCAGAACAGTGAGAGAGAGAAAAAAAAACAATGATTAACATAAGCACCCAATTTTTTTTTAACTATGAAAATTCAAAGTTAAAAAACAAAACAAAAAAACAAACAAAAATGGATATGGGGCAAATGGGGTGAACAGGAAGCAAGTTCTCTTTTCAGCTTTCACCGACTGTTAACTCCAGCTGAAAGTTCTGGCTGTTCACTCACTTCACTTAGTTAAGTATTGTTTCAGAACTTGAGTTATGTGTGCCAATCTGTTTTACAGATCTGGCTTATTTGTATGCAGACTGTTGGTCGATTGACACTAGGGGCAAAGATGCACTCCAGCTTTGAAACTAATTAGTCAACTTTTATGACATGCATGTTAGGGGTGCAGCGGGTATATCCCCCCCCCCCACAATAGGGCCCCGGAACACACATGGGGAGGGCAACAAATAAAGGTTCCTCTTAGCTTCCTTGGCAATTAAGTATATGGTGCTAGGTCCATACTTGTACACCACAATCAGCACTTGATGGGTGAAGTGGCCAACAATGTCTTGGCAATCTTTCCAATCCAGGACATTTCCTGGTACCAGTTTTAGGCATGCTCCACCTAAGATTCAAACCTAAGACCTTCTGACCAGCATCTAGACTCAGTGCTAAAGCGCTCCTGCAATATGAATCTAGTTATAAACAACAAACACGGGCAATGACAACAGCTAACAAACAGAAGGCCTCTTCAAGCCTCAGAAATTAAGTATCTGAGAAAGGTGGTCCAAGTGACAAGAAGGGACTAAAGTCACATCCAGACAATTGATCATGATCTTGAAACCCAGGCCTTACAAACTCGAGTGGATCAGTCACAGCTACGATGGTTTATACATGTATGTAGACTGAGAGAGAATCAGCCACCAGGGAATCAGACCTCCAGGACAATCCAGGATACGTTGGGAAGACATCATGTGACAGTCTCTGGCGCCGTGGAAACATTTTAATTGAAAAGAGGCGTGGCGACTAAGAAAAGTTTGAGAAACACTGCTCTACACACCATGGTCCAAAAGGATCAACTAAGTAAATTGAGTAAATTATAAACAAAGAAGCTGAGGGTTAAAAACTTAACTGAGAGAACCGTGGACAATGACAAACAAGATTTCACTATGTATATACAGGTGGAGATTAACCAAAGAGAGAAAAATGAAAACAGGATTAATTTCTTACCTTATTTGTCTTTTCAAATGTGACATATTTGTCAAAGACTGAATCCTTTTCTTGTTGTAGGATCAGGTAATCCTCTTGTAATTTCTGAAAGTTGTATATACAGATGAAAGAATTATATATTTATTATTTATGAAAGAATTATATATTTATTATTTATGAAAGAATTATATATTTATTATTTATCACTGAAAACAGAAATAAACCTATGTTCAGTTTCTGGAGAATGTTCCATTTTTTTTTTCAACATTACTGCTGATATTTCTTATAGTTGATTTCTAGAACTCTGTGGGTGTTCCATTATTTGTTTAGTGACAATGAAATAAAGACCTGAGAACAATACAACTAGAATGTCTTTGCACTGGAACCCACAGGGGCATAGTAATGAAGGAAGACCAAAAAAAACAAATGGAGAAGGGAGCTTGAGAGTGAGGCTACAAAGATGGGGAGAGCTGCATGCAGTAGCGAAGGATAAAACGACTTGGCGTGTGTTGATTAAGGACTCTTGCTCCATTGGGGGATAGAAGGTAGAAGAAAAAGAAATAAACTAAATGTTGGAAACATCAGGAAGAAATCCGTAGCCCTTTCTTCAAGCACTCACAATCACAAAAAGACATTAAAAATATAATACTTTACCCACAGTAATTAAAAGACAGCAAACACAAAGGTCTGCCCACTTAAAGAGAATGCCTTACAATGCAATTCCATACAAAAAGTAAAGGACCCTTTTCCACACCTTAAGGCATATAGGGTACATAGGGCTAGACCTATATTTTTATAAACCAATCGGCACAAGATGGGTGATGTGGTCAGCATCACGCCCGTCGCCTTTACTTACCAGGACTGCACCCGATACCCACTTAAGCCTAGGTCGACCTGGGAGTCAAGGTCATTTTTGGAAAAAAGTCTGGCTCTGCCAGGGAGCAAACCTATGACCTTCTGATCAGCATGTGAGTGTCTAGCCGCTACGCCACAGTGACTCCCGCAATACAATAAAAGGTATACATCAAAACAGGAGAGGGACACATATCATGAGGTAGACCAAGAACCCCATGGAAAGATAACATCAGAGAAACTCCACAACACTAGTATCTTCCTTGACATCTCAAGTTGTAAAAGAGAAAGTGAAGAACAAGAAGTGATCAGTCAAGGTTTCAACTTCACTGCAGATGCTTCACCCCATAACTGCTCCATTCCATTTTTCACTGTCATTTTTGAAAAACTAGTGAAAAACTATAAATTCCAGCAAAATCTTTAAGCTTGCTGATGCAAAGTAAATGCATAAAACAGCTATCAGATGTGCCAAAACTAACAGTCTCTCACCAGAACTGCAGCTCAAGGCTGATGCAAGCAGTCAATCATGAAAGCCGGCATTTGCTGTAGAAGAACACACCACAGAAAGCCTAGTCAGCCACTCACCATTTTAGGTGAAGCCCACCACAAAACCACCATAGGTACAACAGAAAAAACATTTCACTGAAATATGAAATATACAGGTCATGGAACCTTTGGACTCCCAGTCCAGAAACAGGGAAACTGTCTCAGCAAACCATGGTTAGAAACAAATAACTTTTTATAACGTAAGCCCCTACACTCACGAGGAAGAGAATCCGAGAAACAAGTAACTTTTTATAACGTAAGCCCCTACACTCACGAGGAAGAGAATCCGAGAAACAAGTAACTTTTTATAACGTAAGCCCCTACACTCACGAGGAAGAGAATCCGAGAAACAAGTAACTTTTTATAACGTAAGCCCCTACACTCACGAGGAAGAGAATCCGAGAAACAAGTAACTTTTTATAACGTAAGCCCCTACACTCAGGAGGAAGAGAATCAGAGAAACAAGTAACTTTTTATAATGTAAACCCCTACACTCACGAGGAAGAGAATCAGAGACACAGGAATAAAACAGAAATTAGTGAAATATTTTTGTGGATTTCAGCGCTCTTTTGTGAAGCCTTGCAGACTTTTCAAAATGGTACCAGGTCGAGCATCCCAGAAAGTGCAGAAGTGATCTCAAGGTATTTGAATATATAAGTTGTTTTTTTTTAAACAGTCTGGCACCTTGAAAATCAGTTAATTTGCTTTATCAAATACAAATAACATCATTTTAAATTGCCTGATCAAGTAAAAATCACATTTTATTTTGTTTGATCAAATCAGTCTTAAATTTGCTTGATTAAACACATCCAGTCTTTAATTTGCCTGATCAATAATATACCAATTTAATTTGCTTAATCAGAAGAATGTCTGCAGAAATATCAGACACTGAAAAGTACTATATGCGAAGCAAACAGAAGAGCCCGCTTCAGAGATCTCTTCCTGCCCTGTCGCTGCAAGGCGTTCCAGGAGTAGAGAAAAGAAGAAGAACAGGCATGCTGCAGCAACTCTCAGGAGAAGCAATCCCAAAAATCTATGGCTTCACCACAGAAATGGTATCTTTAATATGACTTTATAGAGAAATTCTACTTAACACTAACACAATCATTACATTTACCTTAATCTGCTCTAAAGCCTTTTCCTGGCTTGCCTGTACAGCATTGTACGCTTCTACAGCTTCATCCTTCTCCTCCTGAAGCTCCTGCAGCTGCTTCTCCAGCCTCTGTTGAGAGTCAACAAAACAAAATAATCTTTGACTGTGACACAACAGGATAGCTGGAGGATAAGAGCGGAAGGAGAAAATAAAGAAAGATATTAGACAGTCTGGTTTCAAAGAATGCAAAAAAAATGCATCAATTATGCAGATGAGTTCGCCCTAAGTTGATTATAAAACAGATGGTATGAAAGGAAGTGGCTATGCTAATGTAGAAAGTTTATTTTTTTTTTTTTTTAGAATTTGTTTTCAGGATCGTCTGATAATAAAATAAAGAAGTGAGGAAGGAAACTAGCCAACCCTCCTTATTTGCAGATATTCCATGGATCAAAGGACTTCAGGCCAAAATGGACACTTTGAAAAGTATCTATGTTTTGTTGATGCAAATTTTCCATTTCTGGACCAGGAGTCCAACGGTTCTGTCACCAAGCTACTGAACTGTGAACTGTGGATTTCATTTGGAATGCTTTTACTTCTTGGGCCAGGGCATGTTGTTGACTGCACTAAAATGATGAGTTGGCCGATTACATTCATAATGGCATTTACTTTTGCGGGTACAGCGCCAGCTTTTGTGATTGACCGTTTACACCCACAGTGAGCTGTAATTCTGATGTGGGACTGTTAGTGTTGGCACATCCGACAGCTAGCTGCCTTTTGCACTTTTACTCGGTGTGTGCAAACTTTTGCTAGGACTGACACGTTTTTCGCTAGTTTTCAAATGGGACGGTGAAAGGACATTTTGTGTGATTTCCAGGAATGGAGTAGTCATGTGGTGATCTGTCTGCAATTATGCTGGAACCTCGACTATCAACCTCCGATTCCATGGATCAGAATATGTGAACGCTTAGCAATTCATACCCAAACCACAATATCTGTCATGAGTCTACCTTTATTCTCAAGTTACAGTTGCATAGTGAGTAGTATTTGCTGATCCACTTTGGTCTTTGACTAATCTTTCATTGGTTATAGATCCCCTATAACACTAGCAGAGTCATGTAGCGAGAGCATCTGTGTTTGCTCAGAATTTGTTGTCACCCGTTTGTGTAATTTAATCCTTTCTGCTCAAGAAGACACAAAACCAACACTTCTGGTTGGTACTATTTTCTTTCCTTGTAAAAGCTGCTTTCCCAACTCACTATAGAGAAATGTTCATGAGATGTCTTGCTAACAGATTCATTTTATCTGTGCAAACATTCAGCATGATCTAGGATGACTAAATATACTTTTTTTTTTTTAATAGCATTGGGGTGGGTCTTTTAAGAAAATAACTTTATTTATAGACGTTTCTAAGTCATATTTTTCACACTGGCTAGAGTGGTTACTGGACGACCTAGTCAAAGGATTAAGTAAGTGTCCGCAATAATTAGTTTACAGGCCCCAAGAGATATAAGCCAACTGAGTCTTTGCTGCATTCATTTTTACTGATTACTCCCCGTACTCTCAATAGTACTTGTTTATGATTCGGATAGTAGATTGATTTTGTGTGCTTTCTTATTGACATGTGCAAACTGTTATTTCCTAAGGATTGTTTTGCAAATATTTATCAGTGGAAAGTACGGGAGCCTGACTTTTCTTAGGTTATTGCAGTAAAAGGGTTAACCTGTAGCATCCATCTAAATGACTTTATATATGTGCCTGTCTGTCAGGGTCAGTTTTTAAGATACAATTGATTATGTGGGTGCATTATATGATAGAAAAGTAATTCTATGGGTGAATTACAAGATTACAGAATGGAATTAAATTTTAACACTTACAGATATCTGTGCCTCCATCTCTGATTCATCTTTAACATTACTGGCTGTAATTTGAGTGGATTTTTCATTTTCTGTGTGAGAGATCTGTGACTCTAACTCTGCAACAGTTGAACAACAACAATGACTAACGGATGCTCCTGTGCATCTAGACACATTTGATAGCAACTAACAACGACTAAAAAAAACCACACTGGCATAGAATCATTTTTTTTTAAGTATCCAGAAACCATGAGTTCTTAACCCTTTGGCTCGGTACTATGGAAATCGCAACCCTTCTGCCTTGATTCCATGATAGGTACCGCAAATCTGGGAGAAATGTGGCTTTTCTGCCTACCCCCGGGCATGAACCCGGACCACAAGGAATTCATCACCCGGTTATCGCGCAGTCTGGTTTAGCCAAATGCCCTAGAGAGCCGGGCGGCATAGAATCAAAAATATGCTTTACATGACCCTGGGCTACAGCAGCAAAAATAATATTGGAAAACTATGCAAATTCCACAATATGGGCATAAGAGTAACCCTGAGGGATGAGAAGCACTGAGGAATGAGAAGCACCCCCATAAAAGAAATCAAGATAACCAGTTACCTGGAGCCCTTTGGACTTCATAGACAGTACAAAATCATCGCTCACTTTGAAAAGCATCTGAGGCTTGCAAACCACCCGCTGCAGTAAGTATTCCACGATAAGCAAAAAAATACTTCAGAAATTGTCCAAATGACTTACACACAACATACAGATATTCTAGTTTTCTAGTTATCATAAAGCGAAAGAAGGAAACATGAAATACAGACATGTTCAAAGTATTCAGTAAGTATTCCAAGATAAACAAAAAAGACTTAAGAAACAGTCCAAATCACTTACAAACAACATACAGATATTCTAGTAAATGATCTCATGTGTGAAACTGAACCATGGAAAAAATTGCTCAGATGTATATAATACAGTTCTGTAAGTTTCAGGTATATAACATCTCTACAGGTTTTCACATATAATTTCACTTGAGAGAATAGAGGGGGAAAAGGACAGTCAGTGAAATCTAGTTTTACTCTCATGTGACTCCTGCTTGTGTGATTCCTCTTTTGTTAGTGTGTTTGACTGACTGACTCACTGGTGCCTTTCTATCTTTTCAGATGACAGAGTTATATTATTGTATGGGGAGGCCTGGGAAACACATCCCACGGATGGTGAATGTGACTAGCAAGACCTACCTACATATTTCATAGCATAAAGCCTGGGCAGTTTATAGAGACCATGTGTTGCCCATACACCATGATCTCTCTCTCTCTCTCTCTCTCTCTCTCTCTCTCTCTCTCTCTCTCTCTCTCTCTCTCTCTCTGCTGTGTTTACTCTAAATGAAAATGTGTAACAGCAATATGTTTGGAACAAAGCACGCTGCAGAAAGGTGCCAGATTAGCCTCTCAGGAATAGGGGTTTAAAGTAAACTCATTCTCATTAATCCAACGCTTAGTGAATTCTACCTCGCAGTGAGTCAGATTTCCAGGGTCAGTATAAGTTCTGAATTGCCTTTTGAATGTCAACTGATGTAAATGATGTCACTGGTTAGTTTACCACTGGTTAGTTTACTATCTAAATCATACCTGCATTTTTAGACTTCAATTTTTGAAGCATGATAGTCTGACGTTTGACAAACTTCACAAGGTCTTCTTTGGTCAGTGACTCCAGCTGTAGAGTAGGATGATACAAATGTTAACACATTCCCGTACCTTTAACAGGGTTTAAAGAAACGTGCAAAAGAAAACATAACAAGTAGAAAGAAAAAAGAGAAAGAAAAATAATGACATCTGTTACAGAACAGGGCATTTCAAAAGACGAAATATACTTTATGCAACAAGTCTCTCTCATTAAACATAAGAAAAAGAGTATAGAAATGGTATGTTGAATTATTAACACTGTATAGCTGTGAGTCTTGGAATGTGAATGAACAAATTAAGAAGAAATTAAGAAGAACTTTTAGGTCCTGGAGATATGGTTTCTGAGACGCATTCTGCGGATACCATGAACAGACAGAGTAACTAACAACAACTGCCTGGAAATGGCTAGAAAAAATGTATACGGCTGCAAGAAAGAGTGAGTCAGTGTTCTTCGGTCATGTGCTGAGGAGAGAGGTACTGGAGAACATCACGATGACTGGAAAGATCAGTGGTAGAAGAAGCAGAGGCAGACCAAGAGAGACGATGCTTGACAACCTAAGATGATGGCATGGTGGAATATCACCAGTGGAATAGATTCAGAATACAACTGGGAAGGCTAACCAGGTCAACATATGCCTGCAGAAACCAGAAAGGTGCAAATATCGCAGCCATGCCATAAATGGTCACAAAGCAATTACATCTTCGGATGAACGCAGAAAAAGAAGGAGATTCAGAATACCAATGAAAGAGATTTATGAAGAAACATGAGAGCCTAATTTGCGGAGCAGGCCACAAGATTTTGATACAGAACTGATGCTGGAATTTAATATTAGGATTTATATCATTTAGATTCCAATAAAATACCATTTATGATATATGGTTAAAGTTGCACATTCTTTACAGGATGTTACAACCGACCCCAACATTTCTTGGTTGTTTGTAGTTTTGTCATAACTCTCTGAACAGTTGAGCACTCAAACCATTGTTGAAATCAACTTCAAGTGGTCTGCTGAAGCTGAACTGAACACAGTTTGTCAAAACTGTAAAACTGTTTTCATAAAGCCAAAGACGTCAACATGAAATACAGACATCTTTAAAATCTACATCTAAAAATATTACTTGTGAGAGGTTAGCTGCGTATCCTTTACAGGACGTTGCAGAGCCAACCCCAACAGCCCCTGGCTGTTGTGTGGTTTTTCTAGGCAAATTTATGTCCAGTAGTTTGCCATTGCTTTCTGGACGGTCGGCTTTCTTGATACCACTATCGAAACCAACGCAAGGCGCATGGTCCCCAGCTGGGATCGAACTTGGCATCCTGGCCACAGACTTGTGAGAACAGCACTTAAAACCATGTTCTGAAAACACACATGTTTGATGTTTTCAAAGAGGGAGCTGCAAATGAAATCCTTAAAAGTGTGATATAAATTATAATAACCATGCTATTGTCTTGTAACTAGTCTATTTTGTTGTTAAGGATGTCAGGAGTGGTAAGCATGTGACATTGTGGATCAGAGAAACACAGTGACATCATAGTGACAGATTAAAGATGGCCACCCTTCTTCTGACAGTCCCTGGACCTTGCAAACCATTCTCCACTCAAGA